ACATATACATATACAAATATACATATACTCTTATACATATACATATACACATATACATATACATATACATATAACATATACATATACATATACATATACACATATACATATACATATACACATATACACATATACATATACATATACACATATACATATACATATACATATACACATATACATATACATATACATATACTATCATATACATATACATATACACATATACATATATACATATACATATACATATACATATACATATACATATATACATATACATATACATATACATATACATATACATATACATATACATATACATATACATATACATATACATATACATATACATATACATATACATATACATATACATATACATATACATATACATATACATATACATATACATATACTACATATACATATACATATATACATATACATATACATATACATATATACATATAACATATACATATACATATACATATACATATACATATACATATACATATACATATACATATACATATACATATACATATACATATACATTACATATACATATACATTATCTACATATACATATACATATACATATACATATACATATACATATACATATAATAACATATACATATACATATACATATACATATACATATACATATACATATACATATACATATACATATATATATACATATACATATACATATATATATACATATACATATACATATATATATACATATACATATACATATATATATATATATACATATACATGTATATATATATATACATATATATGTATACATATATATGTATGTGTATATATATATGTATGTGTATATATATATATATGTATATATATGTGTATATATATGTGTATATATATGTGTATATATATGTGTATATATGTGTGTATATATATGTGTATATATGTGTGTATATATATGTGTATGTGTATGTATATATATGTATGTATATGTATGTATATATATGTATGTGTATGTATGTATATGTATGTATGTGTATGTATGTATATGTATGTATGTGTATGTATGTATATGTATGTATGTGTATGTATGTATATGTATGTATGTGTATGTATGTATATGTATGTATGTGTATGTATGTATATGTATGTATGTGTATGTATGTATATGTATGTATGTGTATGTATGTATATGTATGTATGTGTATGTATGTATATGTATGTATGTGTATGTATGTATATGTATGTATGGTGTATGTATGTATATGTATGTATGTGTATGTATGTATATGTATGTATATGTATGTATATGTATATGTATATGTATGTATATGTATATGTATATGTATATGTATATGTATATGTATATGTATGTATATATGTATATATATATGTATGTATATATGTATATATATATGTATGTATATATATGTATATATATGTATGTATATTCCTTCTGCCGCAGACATGTATTTTACTGTTTACATTATATGTGATGCTGTATCAAAATGATGTTTGAATTGTTGCTATGGTGCTCTGGATTTCTGCTGATAATGCTCCCAACTCCGACATCACAAAATTATTATTTGATATCCAAGTTATATTGTCTGTATGTAGACTTAGTTCACTGAGGCTCAAAACCAGCTGAATAAATACTTCAGTAGCGAACCTGTGGTAGGAGGCATTCAACTTGATATAGTTATTGATAAATGGTTTTTGCAAACAATTTATTAAAGTTTCTATATTTAAAAAAAAAAAACTTTATCCAAGTCAGAGCAAAGCTACCTCACAACAATAAAATGTTTTTTTCTTTTTGATTTAAATGAACAATGTCAAACAATTGTAATTCCTGATTATAATCTTCAATAGTTCCTCTAGTAGAGGGTAACGATGCAGGGTGTTATAAGTTACTAAGGAGCCAGGCCTAATCTATTTTTTAATGCTTGAAGTAGCAACCACAACTCAACGATAACCCAAGGCAGTGGCGACGTAGGCAGAGGGGGGGGGGGTGCAAATCGAAGTTTGAGGGGGGGGTGCAAATCAAAAGTTTGAGGGGGGAGGGTGCAAATCGAAAGTTTGTTCCCAGGTAAAAATTGGACCCCCCCCCCCCTTGAGACGATCCTGGCTACGCCACTGACCCAAGGATTTGTGGCAGATATGTTTGACATATTTAATTTATTTTGTTCTATTAAATTTGCATTTTTATTTTTAAAATCTACTAGATCTATCTCCGAATTATGGTCTCCAGCCATTTTAAACTTTCCATCTTCAATTAGGGAGAGGTACAAATAATTTTTGTGTTTTTTCGTTTAATAGATTTCCTTCCACACAGCTTCACTCCCTTCGAGCCAGGAGCTAGCTGTGTGCATGGGTTGCATGTTAAAATAGACATGTAATACATAGTATTGCATATAATTTTCACCATATTCTAATTAAGCATGTCATCTTTAATTATTCCTTAACCAATAATAAATTAAATAATAAAAATTGTTGTAGGTATAATTTTAACACCTCATGATCAAACTTACGATATCGTTTACTAATTTGTCTCCAAATATTTTTTATTACACTCACCGTTTTTTGTTATTTAAAATAGAGCCAAATAATAATAGTAAATAAAAAAGAAATTAAAAAACAGCAATATTTATTTAAATCTTTTATATGCTTGTACTTATCTAAATAGTACTTAATGAATTTTATGCAATATATCGTTACTTTTATAGTTCTATAAATATTTTTCGACTTTGGTTATTTTCACCACTGGTTGTCTCTCTTGGTAATGTCGAATATTTACAAGGTTACCGTTTAACAGTTGTATACGATGGTGTATTGTATCTAACCTTACGATATAAATATATATAAATAAAAATATAAATAAATAAATAAATAAATAATATATATATATATATATATATATATATATATATATATATATATATATATATATATATATATATATATATATATATATGAGTGTTTGTTTGTGTGTGTATGTATTTATATATGCCCAGTTTTATGTGGTCCACTACTTTTAAACTTTGGGCTGATTGGTTTGTCTGCATGCCCACTAGACCATCTAAATTAATTGTCGAGGGGAGTGACGTCATTTTGTGTTTGTTGAAATAAAACTACTCTGTTTTCTAATTAAGAATTGATTTTTAATTAACTCGAATTGATCAAATGTAAGATAATTATTAAAAATGAGATACAATATTTTGTTTTATATTTGAGCTCTTGTATGACTTGTACAAAATGGTCTTGGTTTTGATGGTGATCTTTCATGGTTTACATATCGAATTTAAAAATGTACATAGAAAAGAGAAATACTATTGTTACTTGTGGTGAAAAAAAATAAAAATAAAATTATGTTTACATTTCTTTTTGTAATGTGATGAGTTCAATACATTTTAAAAATTATTAATGTCTTGAACAGAACAGCAAACTTTAAAAAAATGTAATACCTGAAGTTTAAATTTCTACTTATAAAAAAATTTTGCCACTGGGAATTTTTTGTAAGAACATTGCAGTCAAACACAGGAGATGGCGAACCTAAAATGGCGTTGTGTTTGAATACCTTCTTCAGGGGGGCGCACTCTTTTGTGCGAAGGGGGTAACTCTATATCTGTTAGTACATCGTGCCTTATGACGCCAGCAGTCTTACCGAGGGGCAGGGAGCAAACTCATTATACACACAAGTCAACATAGGGGAGGGAACTTTATTCAGGGGATACAACTCTTGACCAATATTTGCACAGATCTGATTTCATTGGTGAAGCTAAGGGCCTTAAGCCTGGTGACACTAAACTAAGGTGCGAAGAAGGAAGGCTCCCGGGAGAACAAAAAAAAAATCCTTTCGACGACATAGTTTACCCAACTTTTGAGAACAAGACGACGATTTAAGAAGTGTAGGTACACCTAAGCGTGATGTAGACGGCTTCCAATAATTAGCCTTAATCGACAGCAGTTTCTGTCGTCTTTATAAAAAAAAAATTTTCGACGTTGAACAAAGATAAATTTAGCAGCACCCTATTAGAGTTACCGAACATTTTGTATGTTGACTTACGGACAATTAAAATTGGACCTCTCGAGTAAAGGGAAAGAACTGGGCCTGTTGAGTAAAGGGAAAGAACTGGGCCTGTCGAGTAAAGGGAAAGAACTTTGCCTGTCGGGAAGAGTCTGGTTAGTTTGGCAGAGTAGCAGACGGTAGGCTGTAGTTGTGTACAAGATTCAGAGTAGCAGACGGTAAGATGTAGTTGTGTACAAGATTCAGTGTAGCAGACGGTAGGCTGTAGTTGTGTACAAGATTCCATCGGTGTAGCAGACGGTAGGCTCAAATTCCCTACAGTCAGACTTTTTTATGCGTACAGATTCCCTCACAATCAGACTATTGCATACGTTCAAATTCCCCAACAATCAGAATTTTTCTATACGTACAAATTCCCCCACAGTCAGACTGCTCTATTTATACCGATTCCCCATCTGTTAGACAGTCCTATACATAAATATTCCTCCTCCCACTCCCCCTTTCCCCCCACCCCCACCCCGTGCTATCCACGACTCTCTTGTCCACCGTGGACCTGTATAACGGCCACTGAGCCCCACAAGAGCCCTCACAGCCAGCCCCCACACAGCCAAATCCCCACACAGCCAGCCCCCTCACTGCCAGCCCCCACACTGCCAGCCCCCACCCAGCCAGCCCCCACACAGCCAGCCCCCACACAGCCAGCCCCCACACTGCCAGCCCCCACACTGCCAGCCCCCACACAGCCAGCCCCCACCCAGCCAGCCCCCACACTGCCAGCCCCCACACAGCCAGCCCCCACACAGCCAGCCCCCACACAGCCAGCCCCCACACAGCCCCCACACAGCCAGCCCCCACACAGCCAGCCCCCACACAGCCAGCCCCCACACAGCCAGCCCCCACACAGCCAGCCCCCACACAGCCAGCCCCCACACAGCCAGGCCCCACACAGCCAGCCCCCACACAGCCAGGCCCCACACAGCCAGCCCCCACACAGCCAGCCCCCACACAGCCAGGCCCCACACAGCCAGCCCCCACACAGCCAGCCCCCACACAGCCAGCCCCCACACAGCCAGCCCCCACACAGCCAGCCCCCACACAGCCAGCCCCCACACAGCCAGGCCCCACACAGCCAGCCCCCACACAGCCAGCCCCCACACAGCCAGCCCCCACACAGCCAGCCCCCACACAGCCAGCCCCCACACAGCCAGCCCCCACACAGCCAGCCCCCACACTGCCAGCCCCCACACAGCCAGCCCACACACAGCCAGCCCACACACAGCCAGCTCCCACCCAGTCAGCCCCCACACAGCCAACGTTGTGAGAACCCATGCAGCGGGGTGCAGACCTCCTCACGTGACCCCACCCCCCCCCCCCCCCACCCCCACAAGGCCTGTCAAGAGCCTAGTGACTTGACCTCGGCCACTCTCCCCCCGGAAGTGACGTGGATAGTCCCGACAATTTTTTCTATTTCCATTGTCAAAATCTGGGCCGGGGGTTTGACAAGTTAATGACACTTAAGGGTGTCCTCCTGACGTGTCACCCCCTGATTGACGTGTCACCATTTGACGATCTACGTCACGTGTCACCATATGGTGAGCAGATTTTTTTACTCACACACGAGGTGCATTGGATTTAAACTCAGGGTGAACAATGTAACCCTGTAGTACAGCACAAGATGAGATCGTGTTGTGTTTATAGCACTAGGGTGTTGAGTTTATAGCACTAGAGTGTTGAGTTTATAGCACTAGAGTGTTGAGTTTATAGCACTAGAGTGTTGAGTTTATAGCACTAGAGTGTTGAGTTTATAGCACTAGAGTGTTGAGTTTATAGCACTAGAGTGTTGAGTTTATAGCACTAGAGTGTTGAGTTTATAGCACTAGAGTGTTGAGTTTATAGCACTAGAGTGTTGAGTTTATAGCACTAGAGTGTTGAGTTTATAGCACTAGGATGTGACTACTGTTTGACTATTGAGTCTAAACATCCAAAGTAGCGTAGATCTTTTGATCAACAATAGTAGCTCTACTTTTCTCTCTATTAAATTTTTTTAAAGTATTTATGTAAAAAGTACAAAAAAGTAAAGATTTATCTTTCACCTAGCGATCTATTGGCCAGATAGAGTTCATGTTTCTTAAGTTAGGATTATAAAGGGATGGTGTGGTCAGCGTTTTTGTCCATCCGCCTCTACTTTCCCAAACGCAAGTCATATACCCATCAGAGCTGGGTAGACTCAGGTAGGTCCTACAGTGCCGAGATTCGAACTCGAGTTTTCGGGCTATCAGCCAAACGCTCTACCATTCGACCTCGCAGTTAAACAGAAGACTATACACACACACGTATATATATATATATATGCCCCATATATATTTGTAGTGTGAGTTTTTTATGTGTAATTTACACTCCCCCCCCCCCCCCCCACACGCACACACGCACGCACACTCATCCTATCTCTGAACATTTTCTAACCTGATTGATTTATAAAGAACGAGATTCCAATAGACTTGCTACGGCTTTCTGATATTAGTTCATTTAGCAGCGTCAGGCTGAGGACATGATTGGAAGCCATAGCTCCTGCCGGGGTTACATGGCTATGTCGTTAGAGACAAGGCACTAGACTGCTGGAACTCTCACACACAACATCACAGGGGTTTGATGGGGTTTTAGGGCTTCGAACTCTAAGTCGTGGAATGAAAGTAGGGAATAAATGAAGGTTTTGTGATACGGTGTATCGAAATTTGATTTACAGCGGCTTGATTTGTTGACAACTGTATGATAGTGTGGTTCTTGTGTTACGCTGGGAGTGTGTGATGAACCTTTTATTATTTAAAATGATTATAAAACTTTTGTGATAAGACGAAATACGATCGACAGCCACTCCCCATAATTACCCCAATAACCACCTTCCCTCAACCACCCTTCAACCACCTCCCCACAACCTTCCCCTCAACTACCTCCCCATAACCGCCTCCCCATAATGACCTCCCCATAAACATCCCCTCAACCACCTCCCCATAACCACCTCCCCACAACCACCTCCCCATAACCACCTCCCCATAACCACCTTTCCTCAACCACCTCCCCATAACCACCTCCCCATAACCACCTCCCCATAACCACCTTTCCTCAACCACCTCCCCATAACCACCTCACCATAACCACCTCCCCATAACCACCTCCCCATAACCACCTCCCCATAACCACCTCCCCATAACCACCTTCCCATAACCACCTCCCCATAACCACCTCCCCATAACAACCTCTCCACAACCACATCACCACAACCACCTCCCCATAACTATCCCCTCAACCACCTCCCCATAAACACCTCCCCACAATCACCTCCCCATAACCACCCTCATAACCACCTCCCCATAACCACCTCCCCATAACCACCTCCCCATAACCACCTCCCCATAACCATCCCCTCAACCACCTCCCCATAACCACCTCCCCATAACTATCCCCTCAACCACCTCCCCATAAACACCTCCCCACAATCACCTCCCCATAACCACCCTCATAACCACCTCCCCATAACCACCTCCCCATAACCACCTTCCCATAACCACCTCCCCATAACCACCTCCCCATAACAACCTCTCCACAACCACATCACCACAACCACCTCCCCATAACTATCCCCTCAACCACCTCCCCATAACCACCTCCCCATAATCACCTCCCCATAACCACCTCCCTATAACCACCTCCCCATAACCACCTCCCCACAACCTCCTCCCACAATCCAGAACACTCTTTGGTCCCATCCATTCACATTTGACCGAATGAACCACACAATCAAAACTTTATTAATTCATTTCTTACTGCGTGTTACATTTCTTCCAAAGAGCCTGTCATATTCGTCCAAAATTTTATTTTGGTTCAAAGTGGCTGTTTTAATCAATATTTTCCATTTCATTCGTCCATATCCTCTTTTTTCATTTGTCCAAATATTGTGCTAAATTCGTCAATATTCCATATTGTCAGTTTCATTTAGTCAAATATCTAGCTACATTCGTCCAAGTAGGCTGTTACATTTACCAAAAACATGCTACAGTCGTCACATTGGCTGCAGAGGCGTCGCGACCCTTCCCGACACCCGGGGACAAACTTTCGATTTGCCCCCCCCCCCCCCTCTCAAATTTTCGATTACTTTTTCCAACCCATTTTGGCGCCCCTAAGGTCGGCGCCCGGGGACATATGTCCCCTCCTGCCCTCCATCGCTACGCCTCTGGTTGGCTTTTACATTTACCAAAAACTTGCTACATTTGTCAACATTTTCCGCTAAATTCATCAAAAATCTTCTCTCCATTTGTCGGGACCGCACATTGTTCTGGCCAGGTGCCGGCGAACAAAAATTTTTCCAACTCCCCTGCAAGGAGTCGCAGCGTTTCCTGCACGTGAAACTCGAGCCCCACAGCACCCGCCACCTGTACTCAGCTGTCTCACAAGACAAGTGCTCACGATGCACGTGCCTTCTTCATCACACAACCAACACGCGCACTCTTAGACTGGTCTTTGGTTCCTGGAATTGTAACAAGTTTTTCTAACACGTGAATCACATACCACCCAGAATGTGTTGCTATTTTTAGCTCTTAAGGTAATTTCTACTTAATTAGAGAAAATAAAGCGGGTGTAGGAATATCTAATTGCTGACCGCACTATCCCTTCATTTGCAGAGGTCACGAAACATATGAACTCATCTGTCCAATGAATCGCTAGGTCTAAATATGAATCTTTTTTTTTTACTTTTTATGGCTATTTGATTAGTTCCAGAATTAAACACGATCTTTCAACTACTAATTAAACCAATGTCTCAATCATGATATAAACTTACAATTTGTATCACTACTCATACCATTTCCAAACCTAATTCGAAGTAACAATGTAATTGCAACGTGATTTTGTTAATATGATGCTAATAGTTTTTGTATTGTTTATTTATTACAAACCAACGTTTATGAATTATTTTTGTCAAAAAATAAAGGAGAGAGATACACTAATATCAGAATTTTTAACCAGTAGGGCCTACATATTTTTTATTCAAAAGAAAAAGCGAAAAAAAAAAATGAAATGTAGACAACTTACAAGAATAAATGTGAAAACGAGGAACAAAACAATAACTTAAGCATGTAAATTGATCAAATTTAGCAATACGTGTAATGAAGATGTCGATATGTAAGAAACAAATGATTACATATTCACATGCCAGCAGCGCATGAACAGCACCGAAATGTTTGCATCTGTTACTAGAAGAAGGTTTTTTTTTAAACTGCAAGCTTACAGCCCCCCCCCCCCCCCCCCCGGGTGTTGTGTCTATTGCTGTTGGGATGGGGGAGTGGAACGTAAACAGCTGCTATTGTCTTAAGGAACTCCTGAAAGTCCAGATTTTAAAAGCAACGCAAGGACGCGGACACCTGGCGCTAAATGGTACAGTGGGAGAACAGGAATATCTGGCACTTAATGGCACAGTGGGAGAACAGGAATATCTGGCACTTAATGGCACAGTGGGAGAACAGGAATATCTGGCACTTAATGGCACAGTAGGAAAACAGGAATATCTGGCACTTAATGGCACAGTAGGAAAACAGGAATATCTGGCACTTAATGGCACAGTGGGAGAACAGGAATATCTGGCACTTAATGGCACAGTGGGAGAACAGGAATATCTGGCACTAAACAGCAACAAAACTTAAAGTTATCTCAGATAGTAACAAGCCTAGAAAAAGACTCGTAAATTGAGAAAAAAAAACAAAAGAGAGAGGTGTTGACACAGCCTCGTTGACGTGATATACAGGTTTGATGACGTCACAGGTAGGATTGATGGTGACCAGAAAGATGCGCAAAGGAAAAAAGCGCAAACAGAAAAAAAAACACTTTTTTCTGTTTGCGCTTTTTTTCTGTTTGCGCTTTTTTTTCCGTTTGCGCTTTTTTTTGTTGCGCATCTTTCTGGGAACCATGTTTGATGACGTCACATACAGCCTAGCTGGCATGACATTCAGCCTAGATCACTTGACATCTAGCCTAAATCACGTGACAATTTAGATAACCATATTATTCCAAGTTTGATCTCCGTAACTAGTCAACAGTCATAATAACCTGTAAGCATGGTAATAATAGATATGATCAACATATTTAAACTGATGTGGTTTACTTTTTTCAATCGGCATCAGTTAATTGATTATTTAAGTCCACATTAAATGGAGGATTCATGTTTTAAGTAAAAGAAAACTATCATCGAATTTTAATCGCTCAGGCAACTAAAGAAATTAAATACCTGAGGATAAAGGGAAAGAAAAATTTCACGAAAATCAACAAAAATATGTCCATTACTGATCAATTTTTCTGGATTATTTTTCATTTCAGAAACAGCGGGACCTAAAGAGGAAGCAGAAGATAAAATTCTAGTGCCACTTTCTCCTGCTGTCGTTTTCTTAGCTCGAGAAGAAAAACAAATTCCGTCCGTGTGTGTGGCGCTCTCTGTTGCTTATTTATATAGGAACACCTAAGATGTCTGAGTCAACACGAATCTGGTACACACGGCGCACCATACATTTAGGTCCCACGTCAAAACAAGAACAGGAAGAAGAATGGGGGGAAAAACTCATTTCTATGGCACACCGTTTATTGTCGTTCTTCACAAACACTAACATATTTTAGTGGGAAAATGACTTGCAAAGTGGACTGGTTGCTAAAGAGCTTTTAAATGATTCAAATGTCACCGCTAATGTTATTTGGGTTTCGCGAGCTGTTTTGATTTGAGCGTCGATGTTTTCTGAGCTTATATTCACGAAAAAAAAGATCTTAGCAGAAGTAAGAATAATAAATGACGGGGAGTAATGGCGAGTCTGGAGGATGGCACCAGTGCCATATAGTGCGCAGATGTTGACTCCGTACCAGACTCATTAGATCCAGTCGATACATTGAATGACTCTTGACCTTTGCTTGTAATGGCGGATTCGTGGTTTTCTGGAAGGGAAGAGTGAGGGGAGATAATTGACAAAGGGTTATTTTTCTTTGTCGTTTAATGGTGTGGCAATTATTCTTTTTGTTGAAGACGGTAACCCGCGCGAGAAGAGCGGCAATACAAGTAAATAAGGGACAGCTTCAAACAAAATAAACCCAGGACAAGGCCGAATTGATTTTCTTGTCATGAAAATATCACAATGGCGAGATGTAGACGGCATACTCAGCCCAGGATCCGACATTACCAAATAGCTTAAACAAATGCTTTTTGGGAGTATTTCAACACATTATTACAATGATGGGGTGGTGTGGCCAGGTAATAGATCACGGAATCAGACTTTTTTTAGACATTTTACTCTTGTGCAGAGAGGAGCACTTTAAACATCAAGGGTGAGGGGCGTACACACACACACACATATATATATATATATATATATATATATATATATATATATATATATATATATATATATATATATATATATATATGTATGTATGTATGTATGTATAAAACACAGTCGGTGTTTAAAGCTTGTGTTGCATGCAGCTAAACAACGCTTTAAACACGCACACATTATATTTTATCTGAACGTTATTTTGCTATTCTAAACCAATTTGGTTATACATCTTATAATCTAAGTCCAAATTAATCTAACCGCCTTGAACATCACCCCCGAGTATCACCCTTTGACCTAAAGTTTCGTACATTTTTCTGGCCACCTGTAGCCTAGTTTGTGCTCCCAGTGGCAGATGGTCTTGTTCCAGCAGGCTGTTGACGTGGCTAATTGGCCGTTAGTCATGTGTACACGCGATAGGAACACCTGACATCAGGCGCCTTTCTTCTTAGTACCACGGCTAGTCACTGAGGGATGTAAAATAAACCACAGCTAAGGGATCAATAATGCTTTATTTGTAGTAGTATTAGAGCAACTGCTAATCTATATGTAAATAGTAACAGTAGTTTATAAAACAAAAATACTCGATGAAATGTATTCATTTTATTTTCGGACGCTGTAGTCAAACGTTAGAGCGTTTGATTGTTAACCCGAAGGTCTCCAGTTCAGTCGAGTCCACCCAGCTGTGATGGGTACCAGACTCACGATTAGAAAGTAAAGGCGGCTGGGCAAATTTGTCACTGTTTTACACAGCAGGAAATCCGTTCTGAATCATTTGCGCCAGAAGTGAAATGAGATTCCGAAGAGAGCAAAGGGAAGTAACCAAAATTAATAGAGACTGATAATCCGGTGGCAAGTTGTTTCCCTTAATTTAACAAAATTTTGCTGCCTTTCAAACGGAGAACTTTTAAGAAATTCTTTCAGTATTTAACCTTTTAAAATATCCGCATTTTAATATCACAATTTTATTTAGATTTCTATTAACAATAAGCTTAATGGATCACAATTAACATCATTTGTAAGTTGAACCGTCAGGAAAATAGCAGCACTGTGCAGTCACTTAGTGGAGACTCCATGATGTGTTATACCTGAAGAACTTGCTGACAGACATAAGAACTACCTGACAGACAGACATGAGAACTACCTGACAGACAGACATGAGAACTACCTGACAGACAGACATGAGAACTACCTGACAGAAAGACAGGGGAACTACCTGACAACCACAGCAGTGAGGCACCAGTAACAAAACAAACATCATTTAGCGACAATTAATTTATTACAAAAATAGCATAGACATACATATTACAAGCATTTAAAATAAACATTTTGCATTTAAAATGAACATTTTATCTTCAATAAAATAAACAAGTTGAAAAAACTCCTTATACAATTCATACCATGCTAAAACATTTAAAACACCATTACAGTAAAACATCTGACCGTTCTTCTCACTTATAATTCATACTCAGATTTAGTATCATAAACATTTTAGGTGGATATTTCATACAAATATGTACATAACATAAACTAAACAAATACATTTTCAATGGCTTAATGAAGTTAATTTCTCAAAACCATACCACTATTTATTTATCAGTGACACATACAAATATTTGTCAGTAGTCAAACATGCATTCACATTAAAATATTTTTAAGTGGCCCATCATTCAATTTTTCCCCTCAGGCAACACGCATACACACAGATACTCACACACAACACATTCATCTCAGCCATCATCAGTCTGAGGCTTGCAGCCTCTCAGAAAAATTTCACCCCTTCAGTGCCTCCAAAATCCATTAGCTCAGCCTTACCCTCAGCTTCTAAACTCCTCATGGCTTTTATAAAAATTTCTTTATCTAGTCCATGGAACTCTGAATTTTAAAAAAAGTGATTCATAAAATAGTTTTTAAAAAGATGTAATTTTAAAATTAAATTACCCTCAAGTGAATGAAACAAAAACAATGCTGTGTGTAGCGTAACTTTTGCTATTTGTGTTTCTCTGCATGGGTTGTATTGCAATAGATAGCTCTACTCTAACTTTTACACAGACATGGAGAGAAAAAACTTAATTAATAATGTACCACCAATGTCAGCTAAGCACACAGGTTCCTAATTTTAAAGAAGTAAAACTTAAAATACATTTACATTTTGAAAGCTAATAGATTTTGAAATGTTTTTTTTTAAACTTAAAATAAGTTTACCTATTCAAAGCTAATCGAATTTGAAAAGTTTTCCTTCTCATTATAACAAAAAGTTAATATATTATTAGCAACAAATTATTTTAAAGCTAATCCTTACCTTGACCTTCTGTGTCATCCCCATTGGTCAGCTCATACAGTGTACACACTGTGTTGTTCATTGACTTCGAGGATATCTACAGGAATAAAAGAGGAAACCATATTAAAGTCTTACATTCAAATACTGATACAAGATATTAAGAGGAATTACAGAGAAAGCCAAATTAGATCCATAACTTTACAATAAAAAATAATTAAGAACTGGAAAATGCTGTTGGCTATAAAAAAAAATTTTAATTTCAATATACAGTGAAATAAACAAGCAGTCATTTCTTTTGTATTAATTTTAATCCTTACTTCAAAAAAATGTGAATATATAATCATAAAGGCATCATAATACAGAAATAATACAATTTTATAAGATCCATAAGACTAGCCCACTAGCAGTAAAGATCCATAAGACTAACCCACTATTCTAGTTGTTACACAGACAACCTAAGATTAAGAACACTAACCCAGTTGTATATTATTTTTCCCCATTCTGCTGGTGACCGCCATATGAGCATACATGAGTTACGGTTCTTGTCCTTCCATTCTAGGTTACCTGGGGAAAAAAACTTTCTAGCATGAACAAAGTGTTCATATATAGAGATCTGAACTTTAAGTTAGTAATCAAGTGTTCTTTTTAGTTACCACATCTGATTTGTTATAATCCATTCGACAACAATAATCTTATTTAATGTTCTGCACCAACCTAAAAAGCAATGGTGGGTGTATACTTCAAGTTTTTTTTTTCTTAAACAATGCCACTTAAAGACAATGAACTCTAAAAAAAGATAATGGTGTAAAGCAATTGAATCATTAAAAAGTTCTACCTCTTTTCCTTAATTCTTCTAGCACTGTGTAAATTGCATCAAGGGAGAGCCTTCCTAAAAAATAAAAAAAACATTATTTGAGCAGAGTAAGAAATGTACAGCCACCACAATTTTAACTAAAATGAGTAATAACTCATGTTGTTTAAAGTTTAGATTGTAAAAGGCATCAGCCCACTTAAATCCTAAATGGGAGTTTATAATAATGTTTTCAGTGCTATTAAAGTCATGATTAGAAAAAATATGTTTTTTTGTATCACTTTTGTACAAATCTGTTGTGTTTGATATTTTTAGTTTAAGCAACTAAGCAATATTTGACGAAGAAAAAATTACATTTACAAATTTGGTAACATATAATGGTAACAACTATTACATCTTTATTTTTTTAATGTTTAGTTTTACTAGGGCTAGTCAGAAGCTGAAATAGATATTAGTCTTTGTCTTTTTCAACTCGGAACAATAGAAATTGGGTATTTCTGGGCCAACAGCTGATGCCTCTGGAGCATAGTTTGATTAAAGTTTTTTATAAAAGAATAAAGTAATTTTGATATAAATATTTTTAAAATTACTTAGTTTTTAAACCTGGATTCTCTGTTATAAGCAATTGTTGTCAAGTAAAATATTAATTATAGTCCTCTTGTCACACATGGGACAATGTGTAGAGTGTTTAACTGCTAACCGAAAAGTCTGGAGATGGGATCCATAGAATGCCCATTAGTCCACTCAGCTCTGCGACAAGTCAGGGAAAAGAAAAGCTGCTGGGCATAGTACTGACCAAATTATCCCTTCATCTGCAGAGGTCACTGCAACAGGTGAACTCTACTTCACCTGCCCCATGGACCACAATGTTGAAGGGGTACTTTACTTTATTTTGTCACATATTCTTACTATTTAATTGTTTGTTGTAAAACAGTTCTGATGCCTGTGCCTCGGTAACATCAAGATTGTATTGCTTGATGTGGCGCTGATACCCGAGAATTAGACTACACCAAGCTTCTAGCTGTTTTTTACGTGTCTCTATATTGGGCTGTATTCTGTTGAGATAAGATAAAGGAAAGTTAATAAACTTTAAATACTAGTTGTAAATTAATAATTTTTTATCTAACTGCCTACTTTTTAGACACTTTTTTACATGTAAATGTATGTAAGGTACATCTTGATCTATTAAGACATACAATAGACACAACTACATTTAGAAATTAGTCTAAACTCTAGAATTAGACTTGAAACCTTAGTTACAGCATAGATCTAGCCTAAAAGTATAATTGTAAAGTTTACTATTGGTTGAGGGTAAATAATAATGTGAGATAAAAATGTCAGTGACAGGCTGTCTTTGCACCATTCTTGCATTTTAGGACCTCACTATTTTGCATCTCGCAATTTTAGAAAGACTGAATCAAATGAGTCAGGTGTGTGTCTTAACCTCTGCAGAAACCCTGAGATCGACAAGTCAAACCCCTGGGGTTCAATTAAGAAACACTACTCATCATTGATATGGATCTAAAGTTTCTTTTATTTTCTAAATCTAGATTTTTTTTTCTCCTAGATTCTAATTCTATTCTAGATCTGAAGCTAGATCTAGGCCCAAGTCTGGCTAGGGCATTCTACTGCTGTCTAGCTACCACTGACGACTAGGATCTAGATCTCGTTCAAATTTATGTAGAGTATTGTAGGGGTACTGGTAGCAGTAGTAGCTACTGGGTAAACCTCCATTTTAGCGTATTTTATTCCCCGCTTCACGTTCACCTCCAGTTGAGCGTATTTTATTATAAACACAACCAAAACACACAAAAATGTTAGGAAAACGCTAGATCTACTTTTTTTTATGAATGTGGTTTTAAATTAGAAAAGGTAAAAAAACAACATAAAAAAGCATAATCCAGTCTGAAAAACTGGGCTTTGCAATTCTGTCCGTATGTCTGTGTGTGTGTCTGTGTGTTAACACGATTACTTGAGTACCGTTACAGTTAGGTAGATGAAATTTCATATATATTTTATCAAAATCGTAGATCCGTATCAACATTTGAGCGATTTCCGATAACCGGAAGTAGTACTTTTTCTACTTTGAATTTTTCAAAAGCCTATAACTTGAGTACTTTTTCAGATACATAAATGAAATTTCACATGTGAGTAAAAGATCTAATTTTCTACCTTCTGTTAAATTTTGAGTAATTTCCGTTGACCGGAAGTAGTAATTTACGCTACTTCCGATTTCTCAAAAAACTATTGTAAATTTTTAAAGTACTTAAATATTGCGCACTATTATGCACTTTTTTTATTTGGCGTTCACTTGGTGTGCAATTCTGTTGTCTACGAGATTTTATTCTATTTTTAAAACTTTAAGTATTTAAAATGGATTAAAAATCATGTCTATAGCCCGAGTTCCCATCCCCTGTTGTTTTATATAATATATAAGAATATTCGAGAAAGTTTAGGGGAGATCATTCCCGGTTTATTATAATCGCCAGTCGAAAAAGTTTGGGAACCACTGATCTAGTAACTAGATCTAGTTACTTTTAGTAGTAAACTTAAGTAGTAAGTACACACATCTCTAAGACTAACTTACTACTTTTAGTACTTAGAGATCTAGATTTTAGATCTACAATGTCTAGGACTAGTCTAGATTCTAGATCTAAGAGTAAGAGTCTAGTCTAGGACTCAAAGCCAGGCCCTGCTGTGATCTACCGACTAGCACTAGCTAGCTAGACTTAGACTGTTAGTGTTAGTCACTGTTAGTGTTAGTGTTAGTGTTACTGTTAGACTAGCCGCCTAGGCCTGGGTAAAAATTTCTCAACTCGCCACAGCCTGAACAGTGTAACATTTAAACACAAAGTCTAATTATAGTTTATACGGTAATCCCTTAGTTTAGCGTCGGAAATTATCGGGTAATGTTTGTTGAGTTTCGGTAAATAGAGTTACGGTAAACCATGGTTTATTTGACCATTGAAATATAAATAAATTGAAAGTCGATTGTAGTAAATTAATGTTTTAATTTTTTAAGTTTAATCGACTAAAGGAAACAAGAATAAATATAATAGTAGATTTAAATTAGTAGATCTAAAAATTAAAAAAAAACATATATTAGGCCTAATATAAATATAAATAATGAAGTCAAATTTAATAATTTAATGTTTTTGGCTTGCAGCGGATTTGCGACCATTAATTAATTAGATCTAGATCTAGCTAGATATCTAGCTGCTAGACCAAGTAAAAAAATCTAGATTAAGAAAATAGTAAAAATGATTACAAAATGTAAAAATGATTACAAAAATAAATATATCCAAAATTTAAACATTCTGTATAAAAATAAAAGATGACGCCAAATAAAGTATGGTTTACAGTACTTCCGGTGAATTCCGGAAGTGTGTGACAGACTTTGACAATGTTTTACTGTTTTTTACTGCTATACGATTCCGGAATAATAACCGACGCTAAACTAAGGGATTACCGTTTATACTATATCTACTAATATCTTGATCTAGATACTAGAATGTATTATTTCAAGTTGTTTTTAGAAACATACGTGAAAAAAGGAGGAAATTTGTATTGCCATGGCCAATCGAAGTCAGCCATTTTGATTGTTTACTGTTTTTAGTATCGAAAACAGGCCAACTAAAAATACGAATTATTGTTTTTCTGACTCAAAAACCTTCAGTAAACTAAAATATAGAATCTAGATCTAGATCTAGATACATCTAGAGTCTATATTTCATGAATACGTAGAGAGCACTTACTATATAGATCTATATATATATATATATATATATATATATATATATATATATATATATTGTTGTTTTATTTGTTTAAACGGCCAATGTGAAAAAAGGCCTTCGTGCCTACAAGTACAATTGTTACCGTTTTTTTTAAAATAAATTTGAATAAATTTGAAATATGGTATTTAGAAATAGCAACGCAAGAACTAACGCTAGCTAATCCGCATAACTAATTACAATAAAATACGAGCAAATCCACAAGAAAAATCAAATAAACATAAAAGGTATAATTTTAATACAGGTTGTACAAGTGCTTAACGAACTTAATGCCGGGTCCCAATAGCGGCTGAGGCTATTAGTCAGTGGCGTAGGCAGGGGTGGGGGGGTTGGGGGTGTCATAACCCCCCCCCCCCTCTCCATAGACCCCTCGGTATATATATAAAGTATGAGGGCGGTGCAAATCGAAAGTTTGAGGGGGGGTGCAAATCGAAAGTTTGTCCCCGGGTAAAAATGGCTGCTGAAGTGATTGAGCTTTGTTGTATCTGATGAAAACATCGCTAGCCTTTATTTTTCACTGAAAAGTTTTCATACAATTGTTTAAAAACAGGTTCATTAATGAAGCTTCAAAACATTTTTGTAACATTCAAAACATAGATCTAAATCCTCCTTTAATTAAAAACAATAACTAAATACTGAGTAATACACTAAAATGTTTAATAAAATTTTTTTTTTTAAATTCTAGGTGTTTAAATGCTGATGCAAAGTACACTTGTCCACGCTGCAACATCAGTTATTGTTCTGTTCAATGTTATCAAAGTGAGAAACATGGTGGATGCTCTGAAACCTTTTATAAAGACTGGGTCTTAAACGAGCTTAAAGAAATGACCAATGGGTAATAAGCCTCAAGATCTGTTTAGGCAAAATAATGGATATAACAATAATTGTTTGTGTCAGTTTTTTGAAGCTATTGTTACAGTTTGATACCATTTTTAAAAAATCATTTATCAAGACATTTTATCAAATAGTATCATTTAAAATCACTTGTTGCTAGTATAAAAGTACTATAAAATATATATATTTTCTAATGTTTTCTTTTTTTTTTTTTTTTAAAAGGCCAGAAGACAGACAGACAAAAAGTTTTGGACATGCTTAACAAAGATTTGGAACAAAAGGCTGATGAATCAGATAAAGGTATGTTATAATGTTGTTCAAGTCGAATGAATATTTTTACTACTCCTTAATGTAAAATCTCTTTTATATATCATGCTTTTAGGATTTTTAGATTTTGGAACTTATAACCTTAAAAAATACTTTCATTAGTACTTGGCTTCATTGTAAATACCAATAGTCAACCACAGGTAATATTCAAAGAATAATTCAAATTAATTAAAACAGATGTTAGTATACAATGAGTTTAAATTCTAGATACTTTGGGTAAAACTCGGTGAAAAGTTATTGAAGCTCGATTATGATTACTTAAAGTTAAATGACATGTTACATCTTTCCAGATCTTGAAGATGACCTTGCTGAAAGAATTTCTGGCTTAGATCTAGGTAAGTGTTGGTGCTACTTCATACAAAGTTTTGTCTATCTTTCAAGAAAAACAGTAAAAATCTTTTAAATCATTTAATAATTATTATTTGACAATATAGATAAAGAATACAGCCTGGTTTGGAGTAGACTTACTATAAAAGAAAAAGAGGACTTTGCAAGCAAACTTCAAGATGGACGGTTGTCTCATTTGATTGAAATTTGGACACCATAGTGGAGATCTGAGGTGAAATTTGCATAAATGTGTATGCTCAATGTCACATATGTAGTTAAACTCTAACATATTGATGTAGTATATATATATTATATATATATATATGTGTGAGTGTGTGTGTGTATGTGTTTTTTGTATATACATATATGAATTATATGTATATATATTTCAATATATATATATATAGTCCTAATAATTTTACCTAAAGTATTATTGTCGCTTAAATTTATGTTTTGAAAAATATTTCACGTAATAAAGAAACAATACATTGGTTTACCCATTTTAGATAAATCATAGCCTCATCTCAGAACAAGAAAAAAATAATAAAAGTGCTAAAGAACAAATGCCCACCTGATGTGCCTGACATTAATGATATTCTTAAAGTGAGCAACTTCTTTAAAATTCTACCTTTTATTTGCTTTAGCAATGAATCAAATTTTAATTAAGGTGAATTTAACATCTATATTACATACAATGCTGAATAATAATAGTTCTTCTTAATAAAATGAAATTAATATTATTTTAATATTTTCAAACTAAAGTTTGTTTTATTCATTCACAGAAAAATAAACCTTCTGCTAATTTAAGATTTAACTTGATAAACATCTTATTTTCTTATGCGTATATAACAAGAGTTCACAATGGAAATCACTTAGAGTGCCCTTTTGATAGTGCTCAGGTAATCTTATTTGTTTAAGTACAATAGCTAAGTATGAAATTAATACCTACTCAGTTGTAACATTTTTGGTACCTTTACGAATGCTGATTGTGTAATACTTTTTAATGGCTTCATGCAGCCTAGACAAAATTTGATTAGCTCTACTTATGTGTATTGATGTATAGAAAACTTTGATTTGACTAAGAAGTGAGATCTGATTAGATCAAATTAACTTAAACTGTTTTTAAAATGTTTGCAATTGATTAGTCAGTTGTACATTTGTATCACAGGACTTGATGGAGTCGTGTCAAGTTCTAAAAGATCAAAGTAACTTTTCTAGTGTTGGTGAAGCTGTTCAAACTGGAATAGAATTTCTTCATAAAATTAAAGTAAGAGCTTGACTTTCTCTTTAGAAAAATATAAATAGTACAGTGGTGATCAAGTATACTTACCCTTTTTTGTAGGAAAGGGCAGTAATGTACAAGGGAGAGGAGATTCCTATCTTTCGCACTTATGTAATATTATTTTGTTGGTATTTATTGCTTTTAGAACTATTAGGTTTGTTTTCAATTGAAATATTGCAATGGACAAACTATCACACATAGATACTTTATTGATACATACCAATATATTTTGTTTTACGGGGTACAAATAATTACTGTTAAATTGCAGAAAGGAAAAGAAGTCAAAGATCAAACTTCAACTAAGTTCTTTTTTACACTTCTGGAGGATGTTAAGATGATCATATCTGGTCCAGGCAGGATACCAAACCTCACATTTATGTCTTCTGCCCTGTCAGACCTTGTTGTATAATTAAAGTCCTCACTTACTGTGATTAAAGCAGGTTTGTTTCTAATTATAGACAGCAGAATTGTAAACAGTACAACTGAACACTATTTGTTTCATAAATGATTGATTGATATTTAAACTTTTTGTTGTTAGAGCTTCATGATCAAGAAAACCCATGGGAAGATTTGAAATTGTTAAAATCAGCTGTCTTTACAGCAGAGAAGAAATTGCTTTTCTTACTGAGCTGGCTTCAGCGGTATGGAATGGGAATGCACCAGCTTTTGCCAATATTACAGTTTGAAATAGGTTTGTTTTAATTTAGTAACAGAAATGTGTACATTTTAGAAATGTATTTCTAGTTAATACATTATAAAATAAAGTTAACTTTTTGAGCTATCTTAAACAGTACTGCTTATTAAAAAAGGATTTTTTTTATTGTTGCCTGATTAAATTATTTTTAAAAAATGACTTTGTTATACAGAGACAAAACATTCAGAATATGAGGAAGTGAATACAGTCAGGTCCTTCATTGAAGAAAATTTGACTACTTTCAAGACAGATATGCAGGCCCATAATGGAATTTGTGATAAAATTGTTGAACTCAAAGGTTTTTTCACATGTAAAAAGCAATAAACAATTACAAAATTTAATAAAAAAATGCATTTGTTTTTATAAAAGAAAAAACAGCACAACACATTGGCCTCATAAATTTATTCATATTAAAATAAAACATGAAGCTGTATGAAATCAGTAAATTTGTGTAAACATTTCATCAATTATGAGCACTATGTACACTTTTGATGAAATATAATATAAATATTAGTATATATAATATCTAACAATGGGAGGTTTACATGGTTTCTTATGTATACAATATTCTATCTTCACACTAAATATTTATAGCTCCTTAGATCATTCAGTTTCTTCACTTTGTGAGTACTCAGAAAGATTTGTGCTAATTAAAGTTGTGTTGGTGTGTAGGTAAAATTTTTTTGCTTTCTTTTTCTGACCTCTTTTAACTCCCAGAGTGGAGCTGTTTTCAGAAAAATTTAACTCATCCTTGTTTTGATTTTTGTTTTTAGCTGGCCTTGGTTGGTTGACAAATGGGGTCATGAAGTAAGGGTTGTGAAGCAAATCAACATCTTCAATAGACCCTGAAGTGTTGTAGGGTGCACACAAGGCATAAGGATTGTATGAGGGCTGACATGGAAAGTGTGAGAATTTGCACATGTTTTTATGTCGCTAAATCTTTGGTTTGTAGGTTCTGGCTGGAGGGAAAGTTACAGTGATTTGATCAACAGAATCATAGTTTTTCTGTCTGCGAGAACTCACACTAGACAGTACATTGAGTGTTGCAGAAGACGTGTTGAAGTTAAAGTTACTAGATGGTGGGCGAGGGGTGACACCAGGTGACAAAGACCTAGATTGTGACCAACCTGGATTAACACCTGTTGAGCTAGTTAATGGTTTCCTTGTTTAGGTACCCCTAGGGTTGTTAGTTTGGGTACCTTGAAGGCTATTAGTTTGGGTAGCTTGAATGGTGCTAGTTTGGGTCCCATAAGGAATGCAGGTTTAGGTACCATAAGGGTCGCAAATTTGAATGCCAAAATGACTGCCAGTTTGGGTACCATTAGCATTGTACATCTGGCTGGCCTGAGAGCTGAGCACTTGACTAGCTTTAGGGTTGTGCGTTTGGCTAGCGTGATGGTCATACATTTGGCCAGTTTGTGGGCTGTAAGTATGGCCAGTTTGAGGGTTGTAAGTATGGCCAGTTTGGGGGTCATAAATTAGTCCAGTTTGAGGGTAGTTTGTTTGGCCAGTTTGTGGGTCATAAATTTGTCCAGTTTGAGGGTTAAAAGTTTGGCCAGTTTGATGGTCATAAATTTGGCCCATTTCAAAGTCATAAATTTGGCTACCTTGAGGGTTGTAAGTATGGCTAACCTGAGGGTTGTTCATTTGGCTAGCTTGACGGTTGTTAATTCTGCTAGCTTGAGAGTTGTAGGTTCGGCTAGGTTGAAGGTTGTTAATTTGGCTAGCTTGAGGGTTGTAAGTATGACCAGTTTGAGGGTTGTAAGTATGGCCAGTTTGGGGGTCATAAATTAGTCCAGTTTGAGGGTAGTTTGTTTGGCCAGTTTGTGGGTCATAAATTTGTCCAGTTTGAGGGTTGAAAGTTTGGCCAGTTTGATGGTCATAAATTTGGCCCATTTCAAAGTCATAAATTTGGCTACCTTGAGGGTTGTAAGTATGGCTAACCTGAGGGTTGTTCATTTGGCTAGCTTGACGGTTGTTAATTCTGCTAGCTTGAGAGTTGTAGGTTCGGCTAGGTTGAAGGTTGTTAATTTGGCTAGCTTGAGGGTTGTAAGTATGGCCAGTTTGAGGGTTGTAAGTATGGCCAGTTTGGGGGTCATAAATTAGTCCAGTTTGAGGGTAGTTTGTTTGGCCAGTTTGTGGGTCATAAATTTGTCCAGTTTGAGGGTTGAAAGTTTGGCCAGTTTGAGGGTTGAAGTTTTGGCTTCCTTGAGTTTTGTAAGTTTGGCCAGTTAGAGGGTTGTATGTTTGGCCAGTTTCAGGGTCGTAATTGTGGCCAGTTTGAGGGTAATAAATTTGGCCACTTTGAGGGCTATGAGTTCGACTAGCTTTAAGGTTGTAAGTTCGCTTAGCTTGAGGGTTGTAAATTTGGCCCGTTTGATGGTCATAAATTTGGCCAGTTTGTGGGTCATAAATTTGTCCAGTTTGAGGGTTGAAAGTTTGGCCAGTTTGAGGGTTGAAATTTTGGCTTCCTTGAGTTTTGTAAGTTTGGCCAGTTAGAGGGTTGTATGTTTGGCCAGTTTCAGGGTCGTAATTGTGGCCAGTTTGAGGGCTATGAGATCGGCTTGCTTGAGAGTTGTGAATTCTGCTAGATTGAGGGTTGTTAATTTGGCTAGCTTGAGGGTTGTTAATGTGGTCAGTGGTGAAGGAGAACTTGAGTGAGACTGAGGACGGGAGCCAGATAGAGGTACACAAGGTTGAGATCTGCATGGTTGAGGTCTGTATAGTTGTGGAAAATAATGAGGTGGGCTTGGTTGAGGTATGCAGGGTTGAGATCTACATGAATGCGGAAAATATGCTCCAGGTGTGCAGGGCTGAGGTGTGCAGGGCTGAGGTATGCAGGGCTGAGGAATGCAGGGTTGAGGTATACACGGTTGAGGTATGCAGGACTGAGGTATGCAGGGTTGAGGTATGCAGGGTTGAGGTATGCAGGGTCGAGATGTGCAGGGTTGTGGTATACAAGGTTGAGATCTACATGGATAAGGAATATATTGTTGAGGTGAGCAGGGTTGAGGCATGCATGGTCGAGGCATGCAAGGCTGAGGCATGCAAGGTTGAGGTATACACGGTGAGTAACCTTGTATACATGGTGAACCTTGTATACATGGTGAACCACATGGTGACCTGCAAGGGTTGACCATTGATGTCGCACAAGGAGGGGGGGTGGACACAGTTAAAAGTATGTTTTCTATATAAATTTCATTTCGTTTGGGAGGGGGGCGGAGGTAGAATAGATGCCCAGCCCCACAACGGTGCTGTGGCCAGCCCAGTGGCAATGGTTCCATGCTTTCCACTAACGAAGTGCACATAAAAATGTTAGTGGCTCCTTAAAAATTGGGAAATTTGTAGATAGTAACTTTTGTCTCTTCTGTCTCAAAAGGTTGCTGACCCCTGGCCTAGACCTATACTATAATTAATACAATTTACCTTCTTTTGTTCTTCACTGAGGGGTCATCAAAAAATGACATCGTGTTTGATTTGACAATTTTACCCCTCTCCCCAGGTAACTAACCAGGTTTTTAAATTAAAAATTTTAAGTTATTAAACTTAAACTACATTAAAACTCTTCATTTCTAATCTTAGGCTACAACCTACTATAATATATAAGGTAATCTATCGTTTTAGGTACGTAAAATCGGCAGCGGCTAGTAATGTACGAAAAAGTTACCTCATTGTCAAGGCTTTAAAAGAAGTATATTCTGAAGTATTTGTGTCAAATATTATAGATAACTGAATAATAAACCTAAATCAGTGGCTAAATATATCGATATAGGCCAGAAATTAACTTTAAACAGCAGTGTCTGAGAGCAAGATTTGCTATATATTAAACAGCAGCCATTTGTAAAATAGAGTGGCTTCCCCCTGAATCCGGCGCTATAAGCTTTTAAAAATAAAACTTAAGCAAGATTGCTGCTATAGTAAATGAGCATGGTTGCATCTGTTGGAAACATCGCTAGTCTTCATTTATTACAGAAAAGTTTTAATTCAATTGATTAAAAACAGGTACATAAATCATAAACGAAACAAGAAAACATTTTTGTATTTTAAAAAACATAAATCCTCCTCATAATATGAAATTATTATTAAAATTTAAGAAGCCACCTGTTTTTCACATTACAAGTCGCGGGCGATTTTAATTACCTAAAACGATAGATTACCTAATTATTAGTAATTAACTATATAGAAAATAGTAAAATAGATCTAGAATCTAATAAATATTTAAATAAGTTAACTATACAGTATACTTACTATACTTATACATTATACAGTATACAGATATCTAAAAATAAAAATAGCAGTATTTTAGAATCTAGATCTAGACATAGAATCTAATATTAATTTAAATTATTTATCAATGTATTAGATCTAGATCTAGATTCTATAACTAATTAAAATTCTAAACACTTTTTCTTTCCTTACCCGACCCTCTGTTATTTCAACTTATTTGTGGCAAGGGTTCATCACTTCTTAAGTAGGCCTAGTTAATACTAGTTATTAGTAGTTAATCATCTAGATCTATTCTTAGTTTAGTAGTTAAGTAGTAGTTAAGAGTAGAAAGTAGAAAGCTAGAAACAAACAACACAGAAGCCTTTCAAAAAAATGTGGACTAATAATGTGATAAGAGACAAGTAGTTAGATCGTCTAGTAGATTCTAGATCTAGATCTAGATCTACATCTAGATTCTAGACTCTAAAGCATTTTAGATCAAGATCTAGAGCTAGATCTAGATCTATAAGTTTTTAGCCTGAATTTAAAAAAAAAACTAAAAATATCTTAATGTTTCTTTTCTAACGATGACACATTTTTACTTTGAATAATATACCAGAGCCGTGTACGAATTTGTAGTCATATCTTTTAAATAAAAATAGTCATTTCATTAAATGTATGCATACGTCAAATTAGTTCACTATAATTCAATGTACTATTATTATTTTTACTGCAACATAAATTACGAAAAAATTCTAATTATTTCCAAGTTATTACAAATGATAGCCGAGGAAAAAACTAGGCTGGATAATTCTTCATAACTTTCTTGCCAATTTGGCAAATTTCTATTTCACATTTGTTTCACTTCATTAAGTCTTGAATTTGGATGCATCTATTCGGGTCCCAATAGCAACGGCCGCTATTGGGACCAGCCAATAGATTTAGTTATACAAAAAATCTTTTACGATGCAGAATATATCTTTTCTGTTGTGACTTTTCCTTGTAATTCTAAATTATATATTGAGATCTTGCTTTAAATACCCGATATCTTTCCTGAAAATGTAATGGCGAGCGGGTGTTGTTAGGTCTATAATATAATTATGGCCTATGGTATGAACTTCTATGGCCGAGCGAATGTTGAGCGCACATGTTAAAATGTGTTTTATTTATTTTTTCTTCTGTTAAGGGCATGGGCGGGTGATGAGTACCAACTTCCTTATTTCCGAGTCTAAAGATGTAATACTTGGCTAATAGTTATAACTCAAAGAGATAAGCATAAAAATATTTTTTTAAATTTTTTAAATCCTCCGTTGCCATGGTGACGGCGGCCATATTGGATTTTATTGACGATTTTTAAATGGAAATAACTCAAAAATGGTTTGTACAAATTTCATAAAAACTTAATATAGTCTGAAGACACATGTGTTTAACACTTCTGATAGATTACATTTTCAAAAAAGACGATAGTTTTTTTTTTACTTTTTTTTCCTATACATCACTGTAAAAATTTCATTATTTCGTCCAATTTTTTCACTATTTCAACAATAAAAATTTTTTTTTTTTTAAATTTCCAAAAGTGTTCTATCAGTTTTATTTGAACATATATACAGAGTAACTGGAGCAAATTTAGTTCAGTTCTGATAATTATTAACAAAGTTATTTCACTAATTGTACACAAAAGTATCAAACTGAGAAAAACGCAAAAAAACAACAAAAAGTTGCAAAAAAAGAAAATTTAAAGCTGTATGTCACTAAAACTGACCACATTTATTGCCTGAAGTATGGTGCTGCTGAATATATTTCTTCTGAGCTTGTTCAGCTGTTAGTTTCCTTTTTTTCTGGCTTTCTTTGTTGTACCTAGAGCTGTAGTAAAGCTGTTGCGAAGGCGTCTTTTTTGGCGTCCTTCACTGAGTCTTCGACTATGGTTTCCTTCTTTTGACAGCAATTCTATAGCATGCATGGGCCCAATACTGAATTATGCTATCGCAGAAACAGCAGTATATTTTGCATGGTCTCATGTCTAAAGCCAATTATGATAAGACGATGTCTTTGTTTATTATGAATGGCCTTGTTCTGGATTCTTTTGCAGTTGTATACATACGGTTTACAACATTTTTATTACTGCCACACCATGCTTGAAGCAAACCCTTTACACTTTTTTTCATCAATAGTAGCCACTACATCACAGTTACACTCTGGGCAAGGAAATGTATTGATAACATCAAGAAGCAAATCACAGTCGACAATAATTCTGCATGGCTGTTGTTTACAATTAGCACTACCATACTAGATGTAACAGTGCTTTCTTCTGTCTGTAAAAACTGTCTTACATTGCCGCAGTTTCTTAGTAAATGTGCATATTACATCTGCACCAGTGCTTGTCTGAATAGTGCTAGATTGAGTAGAGGTAGATGCAATCAGTTGCATTCGGACGTGCCTTTGCTTTAGTAAATTCGTTAGATGTGTGTATCTATTTTTAGCGAGTGTTTTGTTCTACCCATTATCGAAAGAGAAACAAATTAAATCGTCTGACTGCTTATGATAATTCACACAAACTAATCTAAACTGTTAAAAGTATATTTAATTTAAATAATTATATGTTAAAATAATGTAAGTATTTCACAGAAGCTTAGAGAAACAAAACTAGATCAAACTTAGCAACGCGCCGAAACTAAGGGATTGTTTACTTACGAAGCGAAACGACCAATCGCTAACTAGCTTCCGCCGTTGAATGCCAATGAAAAAATTGAGGTCAAAAATTTGCATACCGGAAAAACCCGACTGAGTAAAATAAACAACTTTATGACGTAGAAAAATAATCACATTAAAATAGGTATTTTGATTGGTCCTTTAATTTTAGAACAAATAAAGAAAGGAGGTCACGGCCTTTCCATTGATATGAAACACATTAGGCTTCCGCAAAATCTAATAGTACTTTTCTAGGTCGAAAAATGGCTATTTTTACCGAAAAAGTGAACAAATTACCCTGAACACACTACTTTGAACCCGGTTTTTCATAAATAAATAATGTTTTCAGGGTCATAACAATGTCATTTTTAGATTCAACGATGGTTATTCTGTATAGATCAAGTAAAAGTGGGAAATCGATGATTTAGTGGATTTATGACGAAAAGTACACCCGCCCATGCCCTTAAACATAATTTGATTTCATAGGTCTACCCGTCCATATATATATATATATATATATATATATATATATATATATATATATATATATATATATATATATATATATATATATATATATATATATATATATATATATATATATATATATATATAATTGTATAAAATAGCTCATATAGGCTGCAGACTATAGCTCCCGGGCCCGTTTTCTTGAACACGAATATCTCGCATGCGTTGTAGTACGCTTTAATAGAAGCAATATGTAACATTTGAACTCACAATGCCCGTTTTTCCCTCTTGCTGGGTTGGGAGGGGGGGGACGACTACGACGACGACAAATCTCGACAAGCTCATAGCAATGGTCTTGCTATGACGTACGTAAGCTATACGCCTACACTGTTCACATCTAAACCAAAGTGAACTCACAGTGACCCTGGCTAGACCGTGTCGGTATTTTTCTTGCGCTGACCAGAAAACGCGAGCGGGCGATCAATGGAGCAACTATCTATCTATATATATAATTCTCTTCTTCGAGCCGTTAGAAAACAAGCTGCAAACGCTCTCCCTACCTCCCCACCCCTACATGGTTTTAGTGAGCTGTGTTCACTCTAAATGTTTACAAGCAGAGCCAACGATTTTAAACGTAGGGGGGGGGGGGGGGGAGGAGGGGGGAGGGAAGGAAGGGGGGGGGGGTTATGGTCCTTAACGAGCTATTTATAGTGTTTTAAAGAAATATTTTCAGTGTCAGCGTTGGTACTGTCGAATTCACAAATTATGAATTATTGAAAATTAGAAACAACTAAATAGCGGCGTATGTTATGCCGCGGGCCGGCTCGTGTTTTTATAATTAGCGTGTTTAAAAACCTAAATCTAGAAAACTAGTCCTCGATATTGCTTCGTTGAGGAGGAGATACGACTTAAAGCTGCGGACACACATCCATCCATTCATACATCCAGAAATGACGGGTTAATAAACGCAATTCTCCAGAATGGAAATTGCGCTAAAAATATATAATCTATTTTTTTTTAAAAACTAATTATGCATAGAGAGGGACTGCAAGGCGCGCTTACAGCTTGTTTTCTAGCGTCTCCAAGACTTCACGCAAATACGAGAGCTTTGATAGGGTCCGACCCCGTAACTGATCGAGAATCGGAAGGTACTGCGTCATCCACTCGACCACGACGCAACAACGGTAGGTTATTTGTATGGTAGCTTATAGACCTTGACAACGGCAGGTTACTGGGTTGGATAATTGACCTAAAGTGACCGGACAGTGGTGAATGAAGTTAACCCCCCCCCCCCCCCCCCATCAATTTTTTTTTTTTTTTTTTAAGAGTGATACAATTTTTTTTGTCGGCCTACATTGTGTGTTTTTTTTTCTTCAGAGTTTGGTGTCCCCTCTTTAATCACTATTTTATTGTTGTAACCGGAGAAAGCTGATAGTGAGTACTGACGCGTTACCTGTTAGTGAGCACCACCGTCATGTTACCTGTGAGTACCGTCTTCCTGAATAGCACACTGACTGTAGCCTATGGCTATAATGATGTAAAATGAATTTGAAAAACATTGTTCAGCAAATGTTAATGAAGATGTCTCAGTTCATCTTGTTTTCGTTCATATTTATTGATAATTTATTTGCGAGTCTTCTTCTTCGTTCTTAAGTTTTAGTGTTGGGAGGGATCGAGCCTTATCTGCCAGAGGGTTTGAACTCGAGACTTTTTTCGAATTTATCAACCATGAGCTTTGCCGACTCGACCATGCTTCCATCACAATTAAGGATTACGTATTTGCGATTGAGTGTGGGAGATTCAATACCTTTCCTAAGTGTAATTTCCATCCACACAAAATATATTGACATTGTCCTACAATGCGATCTAAAATTTCTTTATTTATAAATTAACAATAAACTGAATGAGCTCTTTTCTATCTTTTAAAAAAACAACATTTTTTTTTTAAATTTTATTTTAAAACCATGTGGAAAAAAAAATTAAATTGTGTTTTGTTTTAAATCAAATGAGACTTGGTTTACAATAGAATAAAAACAGAATGGACAATCTCTGTAGTGTTGACCCCGTTAGTGACGATAGTAGCAGCACCCGTATCTGCATATGGGTGTATGTGCATATCCATCAGTGGCCTCAGTCTTCATTTTCATACAGTCTTCCGCCGTCTTGCAGGAACCTGAAACATACTTAAGGTTAGGCGCCCGGGTTTCTTTCAGACATTTTTGTTCTTGGGGGGGGGGGGGGACTCTCGAAATCTAAGGGAAGGGGCAATCATAAGAATGATTAAAGTATACATTTTCTTATTCAAATTATTTTATTTTATTTCATCACTGCACATGTCACTGCTACATGTCACTACACCTGTCACTGCAACATGTCACTACAACTGTCACATGTCACTACACATGTCACTGCCACATGTCACAACAACTGTCACATGTCCCTATACCTGTCACTGCCACATGTCACTACAACTGTCACTGCCACATGTCACTACACCTGTCACTGCCACATGTCACTACACCTGTCACTGCCACATGTCACTACACCTGTCACTGCCACATGTCACTACAACTGTCACTGCCACATGTCACTACAACTGTCACTGCCACATGTCACTACAACTGTCACTGCCACATGTCACTACAACTGTCACATGTCACTACACCTGTCACAATATGCAAGCTTCACATCGATCTAGTTTAACCTATAACTTGGAATAAATCATAATTACACGGGTCTATAAATTACCATACAAATAACCTACCGTTGGCAAGGTCTATAAGCTACCATACAAATAACCTACCGTTGGCAACACACAACAGGGACTTCACTGTACCGTCACAGGAGACAGCCACTAAAAAAAATGTTAGCTTCACATCAGTTCAAAATAAATTGGTTAAACTTAAACTGTGGAACAAAAACCGGCTATTTCCACGGGGGAAAAAATTATTACAGTTAATAAAAAAAGTGGTTACAGTTTTACCGGGAAACAAACAAAAATGTGTTACATTTTCCTATTTTAGCACATATTGCAATAATAAAGCCAACTTAGTGTGGACGATCTAGTAAAATCTAAAATAAATGTCTAAAAGTTTCATCTGGCTAGAAAATAAATATGTAAGCCCTAACTTAGGGGGGGGGGCTAATCTACCCACAATGACTATAAACTATCGGGTTTAGGTGAAACTGTGGCTAAACGCAGTGTTTAACTCCTAATATCTTAATCTCAATTTAATATAACCAGAAAGATAATCAACCAATTACAGCTTGTTTACAAAAACAAAAGATTATCAAACAGCCTGCACATTTTAAAAACCTAATCATTTCTCTATACATAACTAAACATGATAAAAAAAAACTAACTAAACATTTCAAACTAACGAAACAGCCAGCAGTGTTTCTGGGTGGGGGGGGGGGGGGGGGGGGGACACTTGAAATTTTCGGGGGGGGGGGCGGACACTGTTAAAAGTATATATTTTCTATATAAATTCCATTTCGTTCGGGGGGGGGGGGCAGAGCCCCCCTGAGGAGATGGCTGGAAGAAACTCTGACATAAACTCTTAACATAACTCTCACGTAGCACGCGTAGTGTTTGCGGTGTATACTGACTCGTCTACATAGTTTATTCCTAGTGAAAAATGATAAAATTCCCTTTCTACCGGCTTATATTTCCGATGACCGGAAGTGCACTCATCATTTAGTGCGGACTGCTATAGCCATTGTCAAATAACCGCAAAATACCACAAAATTCAAATATACGAATAAATCCCACATATAACTTTTTAAAAAAATTTAACGATAGCAAAGCGTGAAACAAATCTTAATTAAGATGTTTACGTTTCCGAAAGTTGATTTTTAGCGCAATTTCCATTCTGGAGAATTGCGTTTATTAACCCGTCATTTCTGGATGGATGGATGAATGGATGAATGTGTGTCCGCAGCTTTAAGTCGTATCTCCTCCTCAACGAAGCAATATCGATGACTAGTTCCAAAAGCAATTACGTTAAGCAAGTTACGAGGATGAGCATAGGCCATACAAATTCCGGGTTTCTTTCATGGATTTCCCGGAAAAGCCAAAAAACCTCGAAAAAATGCAGCTTTTTGCCCATATCTCGGCAACCAGACCACTTAGCGACTTGAAACATGTACCAATCGATTCCTGCCATAATTTAGAACAATATTGCCGAAGAAAGTTTTCAAAAATATACTTTCGTTCGGTCACAAAAAAAATTTTGAATTAATTAAAATTTGGACCGAATTAGTAGGCATTTTTTCCAACCACACCACACGCGTCATCACGTTCAATAGCTGCGCCATCACGTTCAATGGCTGCGACATCACGTTCAGTAGCTAGGGGCGCAATGGTTTTTAGTCATGTAACTCTGTTGTAAATAAAACATGTAAAATACTGAAATTTTTTTAATAAAAACGTTTTAATAACTAACCAATGGTTTTACTAACCCTGCTCTTGATTTACGCCACGACAGAGCTATTTTTAGATAACATAAGGAAATTGCGCTTAAATGTCACTAGACTTTTTAATTAACTTGTTTAAGGTAATGCGTCGCTTTTTGTATGGCAGAATGGAGTAATTTTATCAGAAGAACACAAATTGCGACTGACTGCGCATCAACGGTCAACCTAGATTAAAGGACAGAAGAACGATTACAGGATAGTTTTAAAAAATCAATAACAATCTTGAGCTCTATTGATTGGCCGTTTTTCCACTGCATGAAAGTCAATGCATATCTATTTGCATTGCCACAATGAACATCAAACAAAGCCTGTAGTTTATTATAAGAAAGTTACAAGTGAACAGTACGTTTTAACGTCTGATTGAGGTTGGTAGTGAGTGCATTCATGTGCGCAGGTCATGCTGAAACTCACCAGGAAATAACAAATAAAAGTGAAATATGAAAACTCAATGAGAGAGCGAACGTTTGCGTGATGGTACTCACCAAATAGTCCTGTAATCAACAAGAGCGTGAAGTACGCACCCTTCATGATAGACACACACACACGAGATAAACTGCTCGCTCTCTAAGAAATGAACAGAAATTTATCCTAAAATCTCAGTCACGTTTTGTTTACCAAGCTAATTAATTACCGCAGTGTTGTGGAAAAGTGTTTACAATAAATGGGCGTTTAGTAATTAATACACTGATGACATGTGGTAGACGGTGTGGTCTGTTGGCGATTCAATTAGTGCAGTGATGAAAAACAAAGACGACACTTGTACGGTATGCTCGCAGTGTTTCTTCCAGACTCTTTTCTCAGGGGGGGGGGGGGGGGGGGGGGGATAGGGCGGACACTGGTAAAATATATGTTTTTATATAAATTCCATTTCGTTCGAGGGGGAGGGGGGGGGGGCGGTAGACTTTCTTCAAGAAACTCTGTATGCAAGCCTCTACAGTTAAACTAAATTTACGACCAATTAAATAAAGATAATGCACTTAAACACATTCTAGTTGATATGTAATTTACACAACGTGTTTTATATGTAATTTAACGTTTTAAATCTATTTTAAAACGAAAAAAGGTGTTTTTATCAATAGTTTTAATACCTATGTATCGTGTCTTTATACGACTGCTAACCCTACAATTTTGAGTTCGAATCCGAGTTCAAGAACGTAGAACGTCCCTGAGTCAACCCAGCTCTGATGGGTACCGGACTCACATTAGGGAGAGTAAAGGCGGCTGGGCATAGTGCTGACCACACCATCCCTTCATATGCCGAGGTCACAGAAACAGGTGAACTCTACTTCACTTGCCCCACGGACCTTGAGGTTCGAAGGGATAATTTACTCTTATCGTGTTGATATCTACTTTTGTGTTTATTTGTATGCGGTCATTAACGACCCAAGCTTATGGCTATAAGGAACGGCGTGGTATAGTAGTAAACTGCGCGTTAACGAACACACTTTCATGATGTGTAGGGTTATATAAAATTTTGTGTTCAACAATAAACACGAGCATCGAATATCTATATATATAATTCTCTTCTTGGAGCCGTTAGAAAACAAGCTGCAAGCGCCTCCTTGCAGTCCCCTCTCTTTCTCTCTATCACTATCACTACCACCCCCACCCCACCCCAAATGGTCTGGTGAGCTGTGGTCACACTAAATGTTTACAAAGCTAAATGTTTACAAATCGTAGAGTCGGGTTTCTATTAGGGGCAAATAATTTAGTTCGATTTTAAACTTACAGGAGGTAACTAAGAAATAACTAAGAGGAGGCTGCTTTCACGTGGGGGGGGGGGGGGGGGGGGGTGTAGGGTCGGGGTTAGGGGAAAGGGGGGGGGGTTAGTGTTTTTAAAGCAAATATTTTCAGTGGCAGCATTGGTACTGTCGAATTCACAAATTATGAATTACTGACAAGTAAAAAATAAAACAACTAAATAGCGGCGTATGATACGCCGCGGGTCGGCTCGTTGTTATAGATTACCCTCCCCCCTATCTTTCCCGGCATGCCTTACCGCACGTGATAGCATTGTTTAATTGTGTTTTAATTACTCTTGTTGACAGATAATTAGAATGTAACATTTCAGTGTTAATTAGTTTTAAAGTCAGACACTTGACCAGCATCTCGGAGACAGCTGCGACAAGAAGTTTGCCGAGAGAATCACCATGAGAGCTGTATGCCTGACTGTGCTGCTGTTGACAGCTTTACTTGGTGAGTGCTGTCGTGTTACTTGTTAGTGAATAGTGAGTACTGTTAAGTTACCTGTTAGAGACTATTGTCGTATTACTTGTTATAGACTAACGCCATGGTACCTGTGAGTACCTTAGTGTTACTTGTTAGTGAATAGTGAGTACTGTTAAGCTACCTGTTAGAGACTAATGTCGTATTACTTGTTATAGACTAACGCCATGGTACCTGTGAGTACCTTAGTGTTACTTGTTAGTAAGTACTGTTAGATTACTTGTTAGAGACTAACGCCATTGTACCGGTGAGTACCGCCATTTTACTTGTTAGAGACTGACATAATGGTACCTGTGAGTACCGTCGTGTTACTTGTTAGAGACTAACATAATGGTACCTGTGAGTACCGTCGTGTTACTTGTTAGAGACTAACATAATGGTACCTGTGAATACCGTCGTGTTACTTGTTAGAGACTAACATAATGGTACCTGTGAGTACCGTTATGTTACTTGTTAGAGACTGACATAATGGTACCTTGAGTACCGTCATGTTACTTGTTAGAGACTGACATAATGGTACCTGTGAGTACCGTTATGTTACTTGTTAGAGACTGACATAATGGTACCTTGAGTACTGTCATGTTACTTGTTAGAGACAGACATAATGGTACCTGTGAGTACCGTTATGTTACTTGTTAGAGACTAACATAATGGTACCTGTGAGTACCGCCATTTTACTTGTTAGATACATCGTTCAGATGTTGGTCTATGTTCTATGCTGAAACTAGTTACACGTTTTAAATGTGCGGAACAGGGGGTCATCCAAAATGACATGCTAATTTAGTAGGTCTCCTTCCCCTACATAGACTTTACAAATGTGACAGCGATGTCACACCTTAACCAATTTTTAACCTACAACCCCACCTGTTATATAACGATTCAATAGAACCACTCACCCCCATATAAACACAAATCCAGAAACCATTACCCCCTCCTTCCCCCACCCTTTACTGTAAACTACAAATAGTTTGAAATACTTACATTTAATTATGTTATTACAAAACCTTAAGTGTCATCACTGCTTATTAAATATATATATATATATATATATATATATATATATATATATATATATATATATATATATATATAAAACAATATATATATTTATATAAAACAATTCTACACACAGTTCTTGCAAGAACTTTTGAAATTAAATCAATTAGACAGGAAACAAAAACAAGGAATTTTGAAAAAAAAATTCAAATTATTAATAACAAGTGTTATGTAACAGCTCTTGATCACTATCCGACTAGGTTGGTGTTCAACAATATGTGTAGTAATAGTATTAGTTATCAATATTCAAGTCAATGTGTGCGTATTTTTATTTTCAGTTTTACCAAGTGAACAGATGCCCAAAAGTAAGCTAACACGCGACATGTCGTGTATCCTACATGGTAATTCATTTCACTAGTCTACATATTTCTTAACCGGATAATGTGTCCCAAAATGTGTGTTAACCTAAAAGATATGAGTTCAAGTGAGTGGGACTTCACTGAATCCACTCAGCTGTGATGGGTACCTGATTCTATAGGTGTAATGTGTTTCACAGACTGATCTATTACATGCCAAATAGAATAACTCTACTCCACTTGACCATATGAGGTCTTGAGGGTAGTGAATCAAACCACATCATATAGAGATATATGTGCTATTATTTAAATAAATAGCTTTTATACAATTACCTGCATCAATTATACAATGACCCATTATACAAACACAAATAATAGAATTACTATTCTAGTCTAACACCAATTATACAATTTCTCACGAATCAAACATAATCTCGCCCCCCCCCCCATACAAACACTAATTCTGCAATATTCTGTAATACAGTTACATTATACTCCATTTAGAGGCCATGTAGTTTTAATACTACACATAGTTTGACATCACACTCTAACTCACACAATCCTTAATTATAAAACTCACACTGACTGGTTGTAATGCTATCTAGTTCTGTGATGGCCTATGACCAACAGTGGTCATCATCATCTGACTAGTCTACCATAAGACTGGTCACTTTTGTTATCAGCTCTATCATGGGTCCATATTATTATATGTGCTGCATCATCAGCGATGATCTTCTTAAAATACATTTTATTGTATAGCATGGTTGGATGGTAGAGCGTATGACTTAAACTTAAAAGTCTCTAGCTCGGATACTAGACTGATGGGTGTCTGATTCAGGAAATGTAAAAGCTGAGTACTAGGCCTTATGCTGACCAAACTTTCCATTTATATACTTAAGTCACTCCAGGTGAACTCTACTTCAACGACCCTATTTGTATATAAAACTTGCGAAGGCCTGGGTGAGCGACCAGATAAATTGTTGACAAATCTGTCTCCCCTGTAGGTCAATGCCGGAAGTCACACGACTGCCAGGGCTACTCCAAGGACAAGCACAGAGTAACATGCAGGAAGGGATGCTGCATCTATTTTTACTGACCTCACACCATCCTACCTACTCTGGTTGAAAAAAGGATCTGGACTTTTTTTTTTAACCAAATTTTATTTCTTAACCTGCTTAGGTTCAAAAAAATAAATTAAAATAAAATCCTAAGTAAAAACTGATCTTGTTTTTGAAATTGATGTTTGTGTATGCTAAGTTTATGCTGGGCTGATAAATTTGTTTGGATGTTGGTCTAATCACAGTAGCCAGGCTGTTTTGGACATATTTATTTTTTAACTCTAAAGAAACGTGTAAACAACACAATTTTAAAAAAAATATTTCGACAAAATATTTTAATCAAAATAAAAAGAAATGAATACAAATAACTAATTAAGTCATACAATTCACTGCAAATAAGTTACAGCTTAAAGTAAAAGCTAGATAATGTGCATGGGTTATATAGCTAATTAAAGTGTTACTGCTACTTTATTTATAAAAAAATGTATTATTACTCTTAGGGCCTTTATTAAAAAAAAAAAAAAAAAAATTTCAATGTCACAACAAAAATAGAGTTTTTTCTGTATTGGACTGTCTTCATGCAATCACTTCTACAAAATAAAATTCCAATGCTGGCTTGCTCTCTAAAGATTCAACGAATCACTTTATGTTAGTTGAATCCTGCCTAGGTTTGTCTAGTGTTTGGAGCTCTGTTGACAAACTAGGGTCCCCACCTGAAGACCCTGACACATTGCCTTCTACAGACTCTTGATCTGAAGCCTTTCTAACAGAGATTGATGCATTCCTTATAAATGGGCCCTGAATACAGGCAACCAAACTTTCTTTGGGTTCATTTTCCTGTGGCGGAACTTTTATTTTTTTATGTCTTTTTGTTGGACGCCTGAGCTTTTCAGAGAAGGTGGTTCCTTCAACTGTGGTGTCTGTCTTGACAGAGGTGGCTTCGGAATCTTCACTATGTCTTGTGGTGTCTTGGCTAAGTTTCAGTGGTAGAAAACAAAACAGTCACTGAGTAGGTTAATTAATGAAAGTAATAAAATATTTTTCATCTCATTCTTCAAGTTTCAAGACCTGGGATGAAAGGGCCACAAGATCTTTAGAGCTAAAGTGATTATTTAGACTTGCGGGGCAAAAGCTGGCTACAAAAACTTGTGGGCCAAAGATGGTCATTGAAATCTGCAGGCCAAAACTAGCTATAAAAGTGTATAAGCCAAAGATAATTGAAATCTGCAGGCCAAAACTAGCTATAAAAGCGTATGGGCCAAAGATCATTGAAATATGCAGGCCAAAGCTAGCTACAAAAGTGTATAAGCCAAAGATCATTGAAATATGCAGGCCAAAACTAGCTACAAAAGTGTATAAGCCAAAGATCATTGAAATATGCAGGCCAAAACTAGCTACAAAAGCGTATGGGCCAAAGATCATTGAAATATGCAGGCCAAAACTAGCTACAATAGCGTATGGGCCAAAGATCATTGAAATATGCAGGCCAAAACTAGCTACAAAAGTGTATAAGCCAAAGATCATTGAAATATGCAGGCCAAAGCTAGCCACAAAAACTTGTGTTGTGGGCCAAAGCGAGCCACAAAAACTTGTGGGCCAAGGATAGTCATTCAAACTAATGGGCCAAAGGTTGGAACTCTACCATGGTAAGAAAGACAACTTCATTGTAAATGTAAAGAGCTGTTTATCTTGACCTGGGTTAATTAAATAAAAATGTTAGCTACCTCTCAATTAAGAACTGTTTATCTTCTTTCACTTGAATAACATTGGCTACTTGCTGGATCCTCTTCTGGTGAATAGAATAAAAACATGACCTCAGGATGAAACACAAAAATGGCCTTGACAAAAAAATATGCTTAGAGGAATAGCAACATTATCTACAGAGTTAATTAAATAATTTTAAAAATAGGAGAAAAGTTTCTGTTGAAGAAAATATAAATATAGAAAAAGAGAAAATGCTTACAATGTGAGCTTTATTAACAGCAGCTAAATTGTATCGGAAAATGCAGAAAAATCTCCTCTCAACTTTCTCCCGACTTTCAGAATCCTGAGAAGTTTTGAAGTTTAACCCTTTTTAAAACTGAATATTCTATTCAGGGACATACTAGAGTCTTAAGCCTAGGAGTTAGGAGGCTGTTGGGTTAGCAGCTGGGATCCCTCTCTCCCGGCCATGCCATCCCATAATAAAGCAATTTAATGTCTTTAAAACTCAGACTTAACATGAGAAAAATATCAGTTAAAATAAATTAATGAAAGATATTAGGCTTACAAACAGTCAACAACTTTGGCATTTTTAAAACCAGTTACTTTTTCTAAATCGATTTTTGATGAGTTTATCATTGAAAAGCTATGTTAAAATAATAGGTTTTATACCTCTTCCACTGAACAGTGGTTTAAAATAAAGTAGATGAAATCTTTTATTTCACCAGACTATCAGTGGACACAAAAGTTTATCCTATAAGTGATATACCCTTTACTTTGTGATTACAATTATTATTAAAATATAATTCACTATTTTTAAATAATAGGCTTTTTGGCCTCCCCCCCCCACTTGCTGCATGTGTTACTGCTTCATATTTGGCCTATGGGTCCCCACATGTATTACTTAAGGTATTGCCTATGGACCCTCACACTTACTATGTAAGCTACCACTACAACCTTGGCATTTGGGCCACCACAATCAAACAGGCCATTGGGCCACCACAAACAGGCCATTGGGCCACCACAATCAAACAGGCCATTGGGCCACCACAAACAAAACAAACCATCACACTTACTAAGTTATAAACTACCCAGGAAATTGGTATCCAAAACAAAGAAACCACTAAGATGACCATTAAAACAATATTTGACTTCAAGAATTCACCTGAAATTTTTAAAAAGCAATTACGACATTTAAAATATGTTCTTGGTTTAACACAACTTGAATATAATATATTACTATATTTTAAAATAATTTATGATTGGCATCAAGCGAGAGAAAAAAATATGGTTTGCTACTTGTATTAATTTTCAATTTGTTGTATTTTATATGTCCTATTTTATTTACCACACAGATAAAGAACCATATAATCAGGTTAATTAAAAAATGATTGAAAACCCATTTTACCAAAACTGTAGCTTGATGATGGGATGGTCTGTAGGTAGGAATATATCCTCATAATGGTTGATGTGATGTTTCTCTTACACTCTCCCCCCTGAAACAAAACAAATATATCCTTGAAGTTTTGATACACAAATACACACTTTGTTCAATGGACAAATAGCTGTAAGTTCCCCTGTTCAGACCTGATGGTCCATAGGGCAAGTGAGGTAGAGTTTACCTGTTTGTTATCTCGGCATTTGAAGGGATAATGTGGTCAGCACTATGCCCAGCTGCCTTTACTTTTGTAAACCTGAGTTGGGTACCCATCAGAGCTGGGTGGACTCATTTTTGTTCTGCAGACTTGAACCTGGATTTGAACTGAAGACTTTCAGGTTATCAGTCTGGCTTTCTAATGCTTGGCTACACCATTCCATACAACAGCTGAACTAAGAAATAAGTCTGAAAGGTTTCTGGTGGGGCAGATTAAAGGGATGCGTGAATCTATCCTTAGGCCACTTTGAAATATTCTCTCATAAACATTTCACTTTTTAGCTATGTGATTTATTTTGAGTAGGTTTCTAGGTAACTACAAAATTGTTTAAAGTACATTAGCTGTATTCCTGTCTGTTTGACAATTGACTATATTTTCAAAAAAAAATACTTATTCTTTCTGCCTTAATTAGAAAAATAACTTTTGTATTATAGAATAAAATCTTCAGCCTAAATTTTAGCTGAGTAACAACATTGTGATAATTTTGCAGAATATCTAACAGATAGATGTTTTTTGCTTTAACATTATAATTCATTACGCTTTCTGACACCCCCCCCCCCCCTCACCCCACTGAGTGTGTGATACAGTTTATGGACCAGCCCGAATTAATCTCAAAGCTTCAAGATGAGCAAAATAAAGTCTACCTCGCAGTAACCATAGTAACAAGGGCGTCCATCCAATAAAATTTGATCTGAATATGGCTTACAAGGGCCTGGTTGATTGGGTGAGCTGTAATCAAAACAACACCACTTGCATGCATTGTCACCTGTCAAAACAAACAGTTTGCTTTCATTGAAGCCACACAGAGTTCAAAGGTTACAGATTCATAGCTGCATGTGATAAAGTACAGTTAAAATCAACAACACATGGTGAATTAAAACTTGTTTTTTTAGGCCATATTAGCTGGTTAACCTAATTTAAATACATTTGTACCTCGATATAAAAATTTTATTTGTTCTGTAACATTGCTTGTGTATCAAACTTTCATCCCTAAACTTAATGGAACTGAACTAAAATTCACTGAACATAAATGTCCTTAAATGCTACTTAATAATTTGTTATTAGTTTCGCTTAATTTAATTTTTGTGAGGGCTTTTCTTTTCAATGGTCTTCGCTTTACTTTAACTTCAGCAGTTCATTTAAAACAAAACAAAAGGAGGTTTGTTTTTTCCTCCTTTCCAGAATGTTAAGAAAATAAGTTAGACATGTGTCATGAAATAACTGAAATGGCAAAAATTAGTTTGCTTGACTGCTAAAATCTAAAATAAAATAGTCTTGTGCGTGCCGGGTACCACTGTTGAGATACTACTGCACAAGGATTTAAATGGTGAATTATCTAGCAAATTTTGTTAAGCTTTTATCTATCAACCTACAACTCAACAAAACGGGAGGGGATAGTACACAATGCCGGCAGTTTCTGCCTATAAATGTTTTCAGCTGCAAGTGGTCTGGTATTTTTTTTAATATAAATACTTTTTTTCTTTATGAGAATTTGAGGAAAATCATCAACTCTATAGTTTTCATTTCATTTGGTTTCATGGCTACTGTTCATTAGGTCTGATATAGACACAAGTCCTTTACAAGATTTTTTCTTTAACTAAAATGAATGATATTGCCTAGACACATGCAAGATTATTATTCTTTAATGACTAAAAAGAATGATATTACCTTGACACATGCAAGATTTCAAGGACACATTTTCTTTTATAGACTTGACCTCACAGAATCCTAGACATCTTCCTCTGTAGCATAAACCTCTGTCATAAATATACAGCATCAGTAGCATACAACATGGCTTAGAATTAAAAACTTTGAAAAAAATGTTCATTTCACAATTGCTGTTGACTGGTTCATGATAAATCCATATCCCAAAATATTTTGGTCTATTTCATTTCCATAGACCAAAGTTGAACAGAAGTCTTTAGCCCCAATTCCAATAGATTCAGCCTTTACACCCAAATCCCCAATTTTTACTCAAACCTTAACATTTATTTATCTACTAACAGAATGCAAAAATTTAAGGTTACTAATTAATAAAAATATTTTTTTACCTTACAAAAGAAAGTAGGCCTTTTACAAAGAATAATTAGAAGTAAATGTGTTACCAACCCATCAAAACACGGAGTCCAGTCCTGAGCATTCTTTGGTAGGGGACAGGAATAGCTATTTCCACTGTATTGTCAAGATGTATGTTATTATAACAATGGTAAAGTGTTCTATTTACAGTTAATCGCTTAATTTAGACATTGGCCTACATATTAACATGATAGATACACCCAGTAGTTTTAGAACCCCTTTCTAAAAATAGCACATCTCTAATAAATTATAATACTGATTTAATTGGCTGATAATATCCACACTGCACCCTCTAAAGGTTAAATGTGGGATAGCAAATAAAACACTACTAGGGCGTGAGTGTTGTTAGGTATAAGATGTTGCAGTGGTTGTATGAAGAATTGCATGTGTCTTTAAATGTGAATAACAAATATATTTGTGGAATCATCTTCCTTCATGTTATTCTAGGTAGGGGGTTAAAAGAGATCACCCACCCTCACACAAACACACTATAGGTAGCGTAACAGCACCAACGCCAGGTCTGCTGTAATACAATGAACTGATCCACTACTTGCAAACACTCCTTTTCTTGCGCTCTATATTGTCACTGTTAAAACACTTATATTTTCTTGCACTCTATATTGCCACTGTTGTAATACTCATGATATTTCCTTGCATTCTATACAATACAATGCACTACCTGCAAACCCTCCTTTTCTTGCACTCTATACAATACAATACCTGCAAACACTCCTTTTCTTGCACTCTATATTGCCACTGTTGTAACACTCGTGATATTTTTTTGCCATCCTGCAGTTCTGACAGCACTCGGTGTTCATGTCACTGTCACAGGTAGAAGAAAAAACAACATCACTGACATTGGTGGAAGAAAAAACAACATCACTGACACAGGTGGAAGAAAAAACAACATCACTGACACAGGTGGAAGAAAAAACAACATCACTGTCACAGGTGGAAGAAAAAACAACATCACTGACACAGGTGGAAGAAAAAACAACATCACTGACACAGGTGGAAGAAAAAAACAACATCACTGACACAGGTGGAAGAAAAAACAACATCACTGACACAGGTGGAAGAAAAAACAACATCACTGACACAGGAGAAAAAACAACATCACTGACACAGGTGGAAGAAAAAACATCACTGACACGTGTGGAAGAAAAAACAACATCACTGTCACAGGTGGAAGGAAAAACAACATCACTGTCACAGGTGGAAGAAAAAACAACATCACTGACACAGGTAGAAGAAAAAACAACGTCACTGACACAGGTGGAAGAAAAAACAACATCACTGTCACAGGTGGAAGAAAAAACAACATCACTGACACAGGTGGAAGAAAAAACAACAGGCTGATGTTTGTCAAGAATCAATCCTATGTTTAAACAACTACAATTTTTTAAAGAACTTTCTTAACAACTTTACATTAATAAATACTTAAAGTCTGGGCTTTTGACATAGAAGGGCTCATGTCTTTGTTTTAGTGTTGCAGGGACAGACCAGAACTGATAACAAAAGTATCTAATGTTCGCTGGGACATACCCACAGTAAAAACTCACCTACACTGTACCCCAGGTGCCAATGTGCAGCTACTAGTGCAGCAATCATCAGCATTAGCAATGCCTAAGGCTCCAGCATCACACTCTTCACCGGGATCTACAATCCCATTACCACAGAAATAAGAAATGGAACTTTTTTCTGTAAAAAAAAATCCGGATTTTTTTTTTTACTTTCTTTATATTTTCAAAGATTAATTTATATTTTTGATGCATTAAACATAAATTTAGAATAAAATAAAAAACAATAGGTATTTAAAAGTATATTGCCATCTTTTCATGATATGGGGATGGGAAAGGATAAAAGGCGCAATATGTATGTATATATATATATATATATATATATATATATATATATATATATATATATATATATATATATATATATATATATATATATATATATATATATATATATATACACATATATATATAAATATTTATACAAATAAATATATAAAATACATAAACAAACACACATATATATGTATATATATATATATATACATATTTTGGGCCTATATACCTATACATCTACATACAAGTACACATTTATATATCCCTCACACACACTCACTCACTATAGGTATACACATTTTGTGGTTGTGTGTTCAAATAGAGGATTATTTTTTAATTATCATGAAGGACAAATATACAAGTAGCAAACTAATGCCAAAGTACTGAGTACATTACCTACTAAGCAGTAGGCATAACTCAATCGATCACCAATTTCTCTCAGAGAACAAGGGGAGAGTACCTGTGAAAACCATCAAGGCAAAATAAAAGGGGAAAAAGATTAGGAAAATGTCAACCAATAGAACTGATCCTATCCTTAAACCAAGTTCCAGCATAACTTTAACCCTAATTCTAACCAAACTACTAAACCTGATATTACAATTCTATCAGCTACACAATCTTTTTTTTTCCTTTTACGCTCTTCAGTATGTAGGGAAAATGAAGTAGAGTTCATTTGGGATAATGGGGTCATTCCTGTGTCCAGCTCACTTTACTTTCCAAATTGTGAGTCAGGTACCCACCAGAGCTGGGTGGAGTCAGGTGAGCCCTACAAACTCAAGTCCTGTTAACAACATAATCATAAGAAGTGTATGGGACAGCATGGCTAAGTGGTAAAGAGCTAGACTGCTAACCCGAAAGTCTCAAGTTCAATTCCGGGTTCAAGTCAGTGGAATGTCCCTGTGTCCACTCAACTCTGATGGTTACCGCAAAGGTGGCTGGGTATAGTGCTGACCACACTATTCCTTTATATGCGAGGTCTCTGAAACAGATAAACTCTACTTCATATGCCCCATGTGTCTTGGGCATTAATGGGAAAAGGTGATGTAGAAAAATGTCCCTTGAAGACTTCCATACAACATATTGCAAACCTTTACATTTCTTTTAGATTGTAGTTAAATAGTAAAATGTCCTTTTTGACACAAAATTTCAAAGACTTTTATCATTTTGATTTTATCAGTTTGACAATTGAGGGAATTTAATTAGTAAATTACCTTGTGATTAGGGTTCTGCCCCGTGACAGCTCTATCCCACATCAGATACCTGCCACCATCTTCTGTGGGAGGCAAACACTCTCCTGTGTCTGGGTCATGATTTGACCCAAATATGTGACCTAAAATTACAGTCGTACAAAATAAACTTCATCATAAAAACTCGACAAGCACAAAAATATACGCCTACTAACCTAAAAAGAACAATAGGTAAGTGATAGGCTACTTCATGTTCAGTAACATTTGTACCTACTTAAATATATAGGCATATTCAGTCGTATATATTTATATATTTAAAAATGATCATATATTCAAAGGATATTTTATATTGACATTATCTATCATTTTTACGATTATTTTCTTGGTTTTGTTGAGTTCTATAAATTTATTTTGTCGCCATTTAGTATTCTGCTATTATTTTTTAACATGTTTAATTTAGTATGAAGATCTTTTAGAAAAAATTTGTACCTTCTCACTTAACTTTCAACCGTGCAGCATGAGTTTAAAAATTTCTAATATATATATATAACAAAACAATAAAAAAATGTGAGAAAAAAAAACAACTGAAATAATAAAAAAACAAAACTTACCAACTTCTGCAAGAGACAAAATAAAGAAATTGTATCAATTAGTAAAATACTGCATTTAACATAATGCCTAACCTATCATGAACAGTAAAGACAGTCATTCACAGTAGCAGAAGGGTTGGGGTTACCAAGGATATGATCTGTTTTACACTATTAAAATGGGTTCTAAAAAGTCTATAGTTATATTAAAACCTAATCCAATCCTCCAAAGGCAGTTTTTGATAATCTGCCAATTTTAATGAAGAAATCTAGTTTTACAAGCAGCAGAATTTGTAAAATAAGCATGTCATATTTTATGAAAGCTCCCCTAAGCAATTTAAGAACTGAAATTCTAACAGTCATAGATGAGTCTTTGTCATTGTAATTGAGCTTGGATATAGGTAGGCCTATAACACTTCAATAAGTAAGCTTATAAGCTAGACTATGTAGCAATACCAGACAGAGAAGACAGGTAGGCCTATAATAATTCAATAAGTAAAATTATAAGCGAGACAATGTAGCAATAACAGAAAGAAAATATAGGTAGGTCTATAACTTTAGATTTAGGCCAACAAAGAGCTTGGTTAAACAATAGGCTACATTTGGTATGGCATAGACTAAACTTGTACAAATAACAAGTTAAATTTCAGATTTGCTATAGCACTAAACAAAAAAAGTGAGGAAAATATGTATATATATAAACGGTAGCTGCAGTAAGGTTTATGCAGAAACTAATAATAGTTAGTTTGCTCACAAATTTGCAAAGATACTAAAACGACTTGTTTTATTACTATTGACAAAAAATTAGCAATCACTTGGTATAATTGTAGACTGTTAGGCTATAGCACCTGCGCTAGACCTAGACCTGATAGACTAGCACTAGACGACTAGACTTACCATGTGCCATGACTAGGTTAAACTGTAGACTTGGTATGTCACCATCCAAGTTGTCTATACCTGACGAGACTTGATAGGCCCTATAGGCTAGCACTAGACAGGTCTATAGCACTAGACTTACCGTGTGCCATCACTAGGTTAAACTGTAGACTTGGTATGTCACCATCCAAGCTGTCTATACCTGACGAGACTTGATAGGCCCTATAGACTAGCACTAGACATAGACAGTCTGTAGCACTAGACTTACCGTGTGCCATGACTAGGTTAAACTGTAGACTTGGTATGTCACCATCCAAGCTGTCTATACCTGACGAGACTTGATAGGCCCTATAGACTAGCACTAGACATAGACAGTCTATAGCACTAGACTTACCGTGTGCCATGACTAGGTTAAACTGTAGACTTGGTATGTCACCATCCAAGCTGTCTATACCTGACGAGACTTGATAGGCCCTATAGACTAGCACTAGACAGGTCTATAGCACTAGACTTACCGTGTGCCATCACTAGGTTAAACTGTAGACTTGGTATGTCACCATCCAGGCTGTCTATACCTGACGAGACTCCAGTGTTCATTACCAGATAACCTCTCACAGGCACTGGAAAATTGGGGGGGGGGGGGGGGAGAGAACAAAATAAGTGAAAACTGTTTCTATTTGGATATACGAGATAGTTTAGGGGAGGTCACTCCTGCTTAAATTTTAGAATAATACATAAAAATCTTAATTTTAGATTCTCAAATAAAATCTAACAATGTTTAGAAAATCTTTTAACATTTAATTAGGAATATATTAAAAATATCACCAAATATTAATTATTTTTAGAACAACGCATAGAATAAACTAATTATTAATTGGTTCACATATTATAAAGGTAAAAGTCAAACTATGTTTTCTGTTATGTAAAGGTATTAGGTAAACATATGGGATGGCTGGGAGATAGAGAGCACCAATGCTAATCGTGGGTTCAAGTCTGTGGGATATCCCTAAATCCACCAAGCGGCTAGCTCTGAATGATGTTAGAGAAAGTAAAAACAACGAGGCATAGAACTGACCACCCCTTCATATGCCAAACTCACTAAAACAGGTGAACTCTACTTTACACGTCCGCCAGGTCCGAAAGGGTAATCTTCATTCTTTATATTAATGGAATGAACAGGTAGGAAGTAAAGAAAAAAGCTTACAATGGCATACTCCCCCTATGTAGGCCATTCCTAATATACGGCCGGGCATCGGATAACTAGTCAGTAAGTGGTGGTGGCAGTAAAAATCTTCAACGTAACTGGTAAAATACGAAAATGACTGCAAAAGAAATTATTTTTGTTAGAACTATTTACCATCTTTTCTGCCTATATGACAAGTACTTGTGAAAATAGAAAGTTACAAGTGAATATAAAATATGAAATAGAATGTTTCACATCATTAGTTAATTTATCGGCTATTTATTGAAAAGCAGATATTTTTAATTATTTAAATTAAAGATTATTATAGCTTTTATTTTTTAAAAACTGATAATTTTTAAAAACAAGGACATATAACACTAAAACTAAGTGGACAGTATAAAAATAATATTTACTTTATGTTTATTTCGCATTTCCCACCTAATATCTTTGGCATTGAAGTGAGGCTGTATAGTGTCTGCTGAATATGTTGGAGTCACATACAAAATTAGCTGCAAAAGGAATCATTTTCACATCATACGTGGTTGTAAATTGGTTTTCTTTTTACAAGCTTTTACTTAGGTCGCTTAATGTCTGCAAGGGGAAAGGGGTCAACTTCATTTAGAATTAATTGAAAGACAAAATTGTCGGCAAATTGTTTTTTAAAACTTTAAAACTGACATACTATTTTATGTTTTAAATTCTTGTTACTGTTGGGGGAAAAAAAAATTAAGTTTAAAAATCCTTTACATTAGCACACGTAATTACTCTAAAAATAAGAATATTAAATATATATATATATTTATATATATCGCTTTAAAGACTTATAGAAAAAGCATTGTTCAATTATGAAATATCTAACACATTTTAGTCAAAGACATAAGCAAGTGAAGGTCAGTGTAAGACTTTAGTGTGTGACAGTCAGTATAAGACTACAGTAAGTGACAGTCAGTGTAAGACTTCAGCGTGTGATGGTCAGTGTAAGACCTATATGTGTAGGATGGTCAATAAGTAATAGTAAGTGTAACATACATTAAAGACAGTATAAGAAATTTAGCAGATTACTTGCTAATATTAACATACCATCCCTATCTGAAGACCTGCGCCTTCAATAACATGAAAGTTCCTGTCTACAAATCTGGACCTTCTATATATTGCATTTACATTTTCCACAAAAGTAATCTAGTAAAAAAACAAATATTAACACAGATTTAAAAAGTATTATTGCATTTACATTTTCCACAAAAGTAATCTAATAAAAACAAATATTAACACAGAAGTAATAGTGGATTTACATTTCTGACAAAAGAAGTCTAGTAACAGCAAACATCGAACCCAAAAGTGAAAAGTATTAATTCACTGGGCTATTCTCAATAGAAATCACAGGACATATTAAACTATAAATTGGATTCGCTTTGCTATGCAGTGAGCATACTAAAAATTCTTTTTCTTAAAGATGAGCTCTACTGCATCAATTATGCAGACATACAGGTTTGAAAGGGAAATTTACTTTGATAAAGTCAAGTGATGAGCAACCCGTCAGATTCATTTATCAGCTTGTATTACAAATCCCAGTGCTAAGTTAGATCAGCATGTATCAACAAGCAAGAAGTTAATCCTAAAATACCCCCACTGTGTATCAACAAGCAAGAAGTTATTCCTAAAATACCCCCACTGTGTATCAACAAGCAAGAAGTTATTCCTAAAATACCCCCACTGTGTATCAACAAGCAAGAAGTTATTCCTAAAATACCCCCACTGTGTATCAACAAGCAAGAAGTTATTCCTAAAATACCCCCACTGTGTATCAACAAGCAAGAAGTTATTCCTAAACTACCCCCACAGTGTATCAACAAGCAAGAAGTTATTCCTAAAATACCCCCACTGTGTATCAACAAGCAAGAAGTTATTCCTAAAATACCCCCACTGTGTATCAACAAGCAAGAAGTTATTCCTAAAATACCCCCACTGTGTATCAACAAGCAAGAAGTTATTCCTAAAATACCCCCACTGTGTATCAACAAGCAAGAAGTTATTCCTAAAATACCCCCACTGTGTATCAACAAGCAAGAAGTTATTCCTAAAATACCCCCACTGTGTATCAACAAGCAAGAAGTTATTCCTAAAATACCCCCACTGTGTATCAACAAGCAAGAAGTTATTCCTAAAATACCCCCAATGTGTATCAACAAGCAAGAAGTTATTCCTAAAATACCCCCACTGTGTATCAACAAGAAAGAAGCTATTCCTAAAATACCCCCACTGTGTATCAACAAGCAAGAAACTATTCCTAAAATACCCCCACTGTGTATCAACAAGCAAGAAGTTATTCCTAAAATACCCCCACTGTGTATCAACAAGCAAGAAGTTATTCCTAAAATACCCCCACTGTGTATCAAGAAGTTATTGCTAAAATACCCCCACTGTGTATCAACAAGCAAGAAGTTATTCCTAAACTACCCCCACAGTGTATCAACAAGCATGAAGTTATTCCTAAAATACCCCCACTGTGTATCAACAAGCAAGAAGCTATTCCTAAAATACCCCCACTGTGTATCAACAAGCAAGAAGTTATTCCTAAAATACCCCCACTGTGTATCAAGAAGTTATTGCTAAAATACCCCCACTGTGTATCAACAAGCAAGAAGTTATTCCTAAAATACCCCCACTGTGTATCAACAAGCAAGAAGTTATTCCTAAAATACCCCCACTGTGTATCAACAAGCAAGAAGCTATTCCTAAAATACCCCCACTGTGTATCAACAAGCAAGAAGTTATTCCTAAAATACCCCCACTGTGTATCAACAAGCAAGAAGCTATTCCTAAAATACCCCCACTGTGTATCAACAAGCAAGAAGTTATTCCTAAAATACCCCCACTGTGTATCAACAAGCAAGAAGTTATTCCTAAAATACCCCCACTGTGTATCAACAAGCAAGAAGTTATTCCTAAAATACCCCCAATGTGTATCAACAAGCAAGAAGTTATTCCTAAAATACCCTCACTGTATCAACAAGCAAGAAGCTATTCCTAAAATACCCCCAATGTGTATCAACAAGCAAGAAGTTATTCCTAAAATACCCCCACTGTGTATCAACAAGCAAGAAGTTATTCCTAAAATACCCCCAATGTGTATCAACAAGCAAGAAGTTATTACTAAAATACCCCCACTGTTTATCAACAAGCAAGGAGTTATTCCTAAAATACCCCCACTGGTATCAACAAGCAAGAAGTTATTCCTAAAATACCCCCACTGTATCAACAAGCAAGAAGTTATTCCTAAAATACCCCCACTGTGTATCAACAAGCAAGAAGTTATTCCTAAAATACCCCCACTGTGTATCAGCAAATACCCCCACTGCAACTGAGCTTAGACAGACCTGAAACAAAAACATGCACACAATCAAGTCAAGTTACATACCATCAGGGAGGAGCAGGTTAGGTACTGTTTCCTACAGCGCCTAGAGAAGAAATGGTAGTCTGCCACATAGTACATGGAGCAGGTATCCCTATTTTCTTCTCTTCTAGGACGATTTGCACTGCCTTGAGGAAAAAATGTGTTCATTTTAGCATTACGATCTGATATAAACAGAGACACATTTACTGTCATAAAATTATCATCCAAGCAACAGTAATGAACCCACTAAATGAAGGTCATGAGTTTTATTTTGTTTCTTTAGCTAATTTCTCCTCACCATATAACCATATTCTTATGTAAAATAAAGTTATGCATCCTAACCAGAATATATACTTCACTTTTCTATAAACTCCACTCCCCCATGTAACACATCACAAGTCTCTAAAAAGCTATTTTAAATTATTTTAGGTAAAATAGACCTATAATATAATAATGAAATATTTCACAAAACTCTATATCTTACACAGCTTTGTTTAACATTATAATGTTGTATTTTTAACATAGAAATATAGATTACCATCATTTAAAATGGAAAACAAGACAAACCTTTACTATGATGAGCAAATGTTCCTCTACTCTGTCTAACATGCAGCCCTGCAAAATCTTCAGGATATTTAACACCACTGTAAATAAAAGAAGTATTGCTTATTAAAGTAAGAGAAAAAACATGTTTAATGAGAAAAATCAAAAGAAATAACTTGGTTACTGCAGTTTATAAAAAGGTAAAAGTGCTAGTCTAAAATAATAATGAAATTTGTGAACAACTGGGCTCATACATAAATGAAATCACATTTATTTTTGGCATATTTTTTGTGCATGCCCTACCCCATCCTTATAAAAGAATATCATGTTTCAGTCTCTCCCCCCCCCCCCCCCCCCTTTTTTTTTCCTGTCCATTATTAAAAGCATTACTAATGAAATGTAAATTTTAGAAAATACAGGTCAAAATGAACAATTTCATTCTACATTCTAGAAGAAAAAGTCTTTTTAGAAAAAATTTTCACACTTTGCTATAGTTTATTATAGGCTATATATGATTTATTTGCTTAGTAAAAATAAGATGCTGTGGTCATGAGTGGTTCCTTTTTACCAGTGATTAGCTCTTGAAATCAACTGGTCTAGCTCTGCTAACAGGATGACTTTTCACTTATATTGGTCAAAGGATGAATTATTCAAAACTTTTGGTTTTGGTCTCTTTGTTTTTCAAACAGAAAGCAAAAAATCTTGCAGTTTTTCCATTTCATCAACAATGATGCTCTTTAGGTTTTTATGCCGAATCTTAGGAGAGATAAGTTGCATTTTAACTAATAATCTTAACATAAAATAGCACTTTGTTTCTGTCAGTGTCAAGTTACACAAATGGTAATAGCTTTTGGTAGGAACACTAGCAAAACCAAAGTCTGACTTTATTTTTTAACAAGCAGGTTACCAGTTTTAGTATATCAACCATCTTGAACAAAAAAAGCAAGTAAAAATTGTTCATAAATAACTCAAAATTGTGTTTCTAATATTCTACTTAAAAAATCCTACCAGTGAGATCCTTCGCTCTTTAAGTCTGAACCTCTGTAAGCAATAAGGGTGTCATTATGAAGGTTTTCATAAGGTTTTAAAAGGTTTCTTGCAGGCTAGGAAATCATACATAAATTTTAAGCAAATTAATGATTACTTAATTACTAAAGTTTATTTCTGTATAAAGATTCAATTCAAATTAACATTGAATTGATATATATTTTTTGATAATTATTTTATGTGTGGCTAAGACATGCACACAGACAAACATACATCAGATTTACCTCCACAGTATAAGTTTCATTGCCATCAAAAATAATGATAAACCAGAGAGTATCTTCTATGTGGGCATTTACTGATGATTCTGTATTGTCTGCAAAAGAATTATCAAATTATCAGCCCTTTTTAAAAAATGGCAGTACAGCAATACATCATGGTTAAGATGAGTGTTAGCATTGGTCAGTTTACAAGTACACATTAGCATTGTTACCTCTCTAACAGCATTTTTAAAGTCATATTTAGATGTACAAGAATAAAAACATAAAAGAAGAGAAATACTGACAATATAGGTGGACAATTTTCTGTTATAAAGTCATCAGTATAGCTGATGGTATTATTTTTTTATGTGACAGGTTGTGTGGTGAATTAGACATACAAAAAGTAGGCTATTTAAAGACACAAAACTTTAATGATAGTTGATATTAGTTAATCTCTAAAAATTTAATTCTTGACTATTGCAGAGGAGAAACTTTGTCGTCAGCAGCGACCTGTCTTAGCCGCCAGTCCTTACAATAGGAAACACGTCTAAATCGTCACAAGGCTAATATTCAATTATCAAATTTCTCTCAGCCAAAGCTTCACCCCAGATCTTATTTCAGCCTCCCCCCCCCCCAGATGACATCACCTATTACTACTACTAGGGGGAGTGGGGTCCCAATCCTATGCATACATTAAATGTGACCTCTAATACCCTGGCAACTCTAACAAACATAAACACACATCCATAACTGTTTCAACTTTTATTTAATATAAAGACATATCTTTAGACACCTTAGGGCCATTTATCTAAAAGTAACTTAGTTTATAATGGGTCACTGTCCTATCTATGGAATCCCCAGTTCAGGTCAGGTGGGGCTCCATCTCATCCACCCCTATCCTTTCACCTCATGCCAAAGACCAGCTAGGTAAGACTTAAATGCCTTCCTATCGAATTAAGGCCTGTACCAAGTCAGGTGGGGGATAACCCACTAACATCAACAATGGACTCAGTTATAACAATTTTGATCTTAGTCTAAACATATAACACTTATTATCAAACATCAATATATAATCTAAACTTAAAATATAATTTATTAAAAAAAAAAACAATAAATTATAACATAGGCATAGACCAATATAAATTATTTTAAAATTAATTGTGATGGTAGTTTCTAAAGTCTATTAAACACTTTTAAAATCTTAGTTGCCAACCTGAAAGATGTCCAGTGAAGATTTTACTTTGATCTATGTAATAAGAGGTCATCCTACCATCTCCATGAACAAGATGTGCTTTAAATCCTTTGGCTAGTACATCAGTGCCTGATTTAAGTGACACATGAAACAGTCTGGAAAACATATTTTTAAAAACTATTTCACTATTATTAATAGAATAGTTCTTTTACATAACAGCTTATAAAAATATGATTTCAAAAGAACACACTCTCTCTCTCTCTCTCTAGATATATATATATAAACATATACAATTATATATATATATATATATATATATATATATATATATATATATATATATATATATATATATATATATAGCTCCCCAGTTTGCTCTGAACCCCAGTGTTCAAATTAGGCTATGAGCCAATAAATTTGCTAAAAGTATTGTTTTTACATACCTGCTGAACATTTTAAATTTCAGATGCTTTAATAAAATTTGATTCCCATCGGACCTTTTAACATGAGTTGAAACGCTAATGTGGGTAAGGGTTTCATAATATTTTAAAGGAGGTATACTTAAAGCTTAAGTAAAAAAAAAGTGTATAAATTAGGTTTTGAAATGACACATTATCAATTGTTATTTGTACATGTTAAGCTTAACTTAACCAAATGATTTACAAATGGTGCTAAGTTAACCTAGAAGTTATTTCTTTAAAAAATAAGATAAGATAATGCACTGATTATTTAAATAATTATATATCAATGGCAGGGATGGCGCTATCTATAAGGTGAACTAGGGCACGATCCATATGGTGCACAAAAACGTGTTATAGCCATTTATAAAAAAGTAAATACTAATTAATAACTTTTATTATATTTATATTATATAAACTATAGACAGGGTAATATACAAAGGTATAGCAATCTATTTCGGTGCCAAGAACCCCTCCCCAAATTAGGCCTATAACCCCCCCACCTCACTCATTTGGAAAGATCTGGGAATTTTTTACCCTCCAATTGTCACGCTTGTTAATATAATGAGATAATTATTGTATTTAATCTAAATCTTTTAATTTTAGATAATATTAATTTTAGAATATAAAATATGCTTATATTGTTTACAGTTTACCAAGAGTGTAACCTGTTTATAATTAATAATCAACATAATAAGCTAATAATATGATGGCATGGTCAAACGGTAAAGTATACCAAGGCTAACCCAAAGTTTTGAGGTCGAATCCGGGTTAAAGTCCACAGATCGAACATCCCTGAGTCCACCCATGACTAACGCATATGTAGGTAGGTACTAACACTAGGTAAACACATCTGGACATAGTGCTGACCACACTATCCCTTTTTATGCTGACTGCTGAGGTATAGTAACGAATGTTTACGAAACTCAACAAATGTTATGGTGAGATTACCAGCACTTCATCTAATTAATTAATTAAATTATTATTAATTATTGTACCACCTGGGAAAACAATACAAATCAGCGAGAATGACAGAAAACGCATTGCCAAGTTCAAGTAAGTTGAATAACTGAGTAGCTTCTAGAGCTAGAATAATCTAGCAAGTCTTGATATTTTACCTAGATATCTAATATAGTAATATCTATACTTTAACTTTAACTATTTTTTCTATATATTATAATTTATAATATATATAGAATCTATCTAGACTAGACTAATATCTACACTTTAATATCTAATATCTAGAGCTCTTAATCTTTTCTATTTTTAGTTTAGTCACGTATTACTTTTTATTATTAGATCTATTAACTATTAGTCTTTAAGTATAAATTATATTTATAAAGTATAAAGATATCTAGTCTCTAGAATACTGATCTAGAATAACCTAGTTTCTAGAAGTCTAATATCAATCTTGGTAAAACTCCATTTTAGCGTATTTTATTCGCAGCTTCACGTTCACCTCTGGATAAGGGTATATTTGTATATTATTATATTATAAACACAACCAAAACACATAAATGTTAGGAAAATAGTAAACTAGGATTAAAATCATTAGATCAGTTATTTATATGAATGTGTTTTAATAAAGTTTTAATTACAATTAGAAAAGGTAAAAAATATTATAAATATTATTTATTAAAAAAGCATTACAGTTTCAATTAAATAGCATGTGATTGTCGTCGTGAGAGAAATCCCTACATGGTCAAAGCAAGTTAACTGTTAATGAAAGTTAATTTATAGATAATTTTGGATTTTTCTCAAGTTTTGACAAAATTAATTTAAAAAAACCAAACCAAAAATTCATAAAGAAATAATACAAATAGATCTAGATAGGCGGATTGATTTCCTAACGTTTTTTTGTGTGTTTCGGTTGTGTTTATTTATATTTATAATAAATAATATAATAAAACTGGAGGTGAACGTGAAGCGGGGAATAAAATACTAATCTAGATCTAGATCTAAGATTCTAAATACGAGTAAAAAATACTAAAATTGGCTAAAATGCCAACAATGGTGTTTTCTGTTTTACCATCAATCTCTATTCTAATTCGAAATTTATTCTCGAGGCTATCTAGAGTTAAACGTAATCTAGAATCTAGATTCGGTATCTATATCACTACATTAATCTAAATCTAGTATAGATCATTAGTCTAGAATAGTCTAGATTCTAATCTAGATCTAAAATACTAGATCTAGATTCTAGTCTAGATTCTAAATAAAAATCTTTTGTACTTTAAAATGTATTTTCACAATTGATTATACATTGCCAGGTTTTGACGGAACTTCAAATCAAACATAAGGTAGGCCATATGAGCTAATGAAGTCGCATTCTTTATTTTTAACCGGCGTACCTTACTGGCGTTTCTGCTATCTCAAACGAAATGAAATTCAAGAACTCTCGCTATAATACAATTCAAATTACATTAAGGTATTTTTATTTAAACATATTATAATATTGAAATTTTTTTAATACTATCGTTTGCTTTGACATTTTGGAACAGTTTGACCTTTGATTCGAGTAGAATACCTGACCCAATATTGTAAACGACGCCCAGTCAGCGACACCTGGTGCTAAGATAGGCGCAGAGGAAATCGGAGCGCAAACCGTACATTACTTCTGGGGTTCCGCACTTCTGATACTTATTTACAAACGAGAAAAATGGCCCGTTGAGGAAGGATACACCGGGCGCTAGGTTGATAGTGCTGTCTATTTTCTCTAAACTAAAACCACCCCATCCCCCACACGCCCCCCACACCCCCCACCCCCCCCACACACCAACACCCCTCACCCTCCCACCCCCACCCCCCACCCTCACCCCCACACCCCCCACACACCAACACCCCCATCCTCACCCCCACCCCCCACACCCCCCACACACCAACACCCCCCACCCTCACCCCCCACCAACCCCCCCCCCCCCACACACACACACCAACACCCCCCACCCTCACCCCCCCACCCCCACCTCCCCCCCCCCACCCCCACCCCCCAAAAAAACATGTCTACCGTCCCATTCAACGAAATATAATTATATACTTTTTCCAGTGTCCGCCCCCTCCCCGAAAATTCTACCCCCGCCCCCGAAAATTTCAAGTACCCCCCACCCCTCTCCGGGGAGGAAAAAGTCTGAAAGAAACACTGGTGTCGCGCTTAGCCACTACCCGAAGAATTGCATTAAAGAAATTGCAAGAAAACCACTTTTTAGATTAGACACATTAATTAGGCGGTAATTTTATTATAGAGTATCGATGAAGAAATTTCTTTTGAGTTAGGGAGGGGGGGGGCTCATACGTTCTTACGCGGGGGTGGGGCTTCGCCCCTACCCGAAGAATTGTATGAATGAAACCACTGAGATTAGACAAAATTGGGTTTTTATTCAATGTTTACTCGATAATCAATGACGTCATATTACTGTGTACACTCTCCGGCTTGATAATATTTTCTTCTATATGCTCAATGACGTCATCTATAATAATAGTTTCGCTGTATTTTCATAGTATCACTATGCATGTTTTTAATTTCCTTGTGTTTTCTCTAGAGCGTTCTTGTCAGACAGATAGATAGATAGATAGATAGATACATAGAGAGACAGCGAAACTATTATATAGAACGAGAAAAATGGCCCGTTGAGGAAGGATACACCGGGCGCTAGGTTGATAGTGCTGTCTCTTTTCTCTAAACTAAAACCAACCCACCCCCCCACACACACCACCCCCCACCCCCCACCCCACCCACCCCACCCCCACCCCCACCCCACCCCACCCACCCCACACACCACCCCCCCCCCAACCCCACCCCCACCACCCCACCCCCACCCCCAAAAAACATGTCTACCGTCCCATTCAACGAAATATAATTATATACTTTTTCCAGTGTCCGCTCCCTCCCCGAAAATTCTACCACCGCCCCCGAAAATTTCAAGTACCCCCCACCCCTCTCCGGGGAGGAAAAAGTCTGAAAGAAACACTGGTGTCGCGCTTAGCCACTACGCGAAGAATTGCATTAAAGAAATTGCGAGAAAACGACTTTTTAGATTAGACACATTAATTAGGCGGTAATTTTATTATAGAGTATCGATGAGGAAATTTCTTTTGAGTTAGGGAGGGGGGGGGGGGGCTCATACGTTCTTACGCGGGGGTGGGGCTTCGCCCCTACCCGAAGAATTGTATGAATGAAACCACTGAGATTAGACAAAATTGGGTTTTTATTCAATGTTTACTCGATAATCAATGACGTCATATTACTGTGTACACTCTCCGGCTTGATAATATTTTCTTCTATATGCTCAATGACGTCATCTATAATAATAGTTTCGCTGTATTTTCATAGTATCACTATGCATGTTTTTAATTTCCTTGTGTTTTCTCTAGAGCGTTCTTGTCAGACAGATAGATAGATAGATAGATAGATACATAGAGAGACAGCGAAACTATTATATAGAACGAGAAAAATGGCCCGTTGAGGAAGGATACACCGGGCGCTAGGTTGATAGTGCTGTCTCTTTTCTCTAAACTAAAACCAACCCACCCCCCCACACACACCACCCCCCACCCCCCACCCCACCCACCCCACCCCCACCCCCCACCCCCACCCCACCCACCCCACACACACCACCCCCCCCCCCAACCCCACCCCCACCACCCCACCCCCACCCCCAAAAAACATGTCTACCGTCCCATTCAACGAAATATAATTATATACTTTTTCCAGTGTCCGCTCCCCTCCCCGAAAATTCTACCCCCGCCCCCCGAAAATTTCAAGTACCCCCACCCCTCTCCGGGGAGGAAAAAGTCTGAAAGAAACACTGGTGTCGCGCTTAGCCACTACGCGAAGAATTGCATTAAAGAAATTGCGAGAAAACGACTTTTTAGATTAGACACATTAATTAGGCGGTAATTTTATTATAGAGTATCGATGAGGAAACCACCCCACCCCACCCCCACACACCACCCCCCTTCCCCCCACCCCCCCCCCACCCCCCCACCCCCAAAAAAAAACATGTCTACCGTCCCATTCAACGAAATATAATTATATACTTTTTCCAGTGTCCGCCCCCTCCCCGAAAATTCTACCCCCGCCCCCGAAAATTTCAAGTACCCCCACCCCTCTCCGGGGAGGAAAAAGTCTGAAAGAAACACTGGTGTCGCGCTTAGCCATTACGCGAAGAATTGCATTAAAGAAATTGCGAGAAAACCACTTTTTAGATTAGACACATTAATTAGGCGGTAATTTTATTATAGAGTATCGATGAGGAAACCCCCCCCCCCCACCCCCCCCCCCCCACACACCACCCCCCCTACCCCCCACCCCCCACTCCCAAAAAAATCATGTCTACCGTCCCATTCAACGAAATATAATTATATACTTTTTCCAGTGTCCGCCCCCCTTCCCGAAAATTCTACCCCCGCCCCCGAAAATTTCAATTACCCCCACCCCTCTCCGGGGAGGAAAAAGTCTGAAACAAACACTGGTGTCGCGCTTAGCCACTACCCGAAGAATTGCATTAAAGAAATTGCAAGAAAACCACTTTTTAGATTAGACACATTAATTAGGCGGTAATTTTATTATAGAGTATCGATGAAGAAATTTCTTTTGAGTTGGGGAGGGGGGGGGGGGGGGGGGGCTCAGACGTTCTTACGCGGGGTGTGGGGCTTCGCCCCTACCCGAAGAATTGTATGCCGATAATCAATGACGTCATTATATTACTGTGTGCACTTTCCGCCTTGAGATTATTTCCAACTCAATGCTAAATGTGTCGACGTCATAGTTCGTTTTCGTTTCACTGTGCAATTTTTTATTTTGCTTATGTTTTCTCTAGAGCGTTCTTGTCAGACAGAATTTTTGCTTATGTTTTCTCTAGAGCGTTCTTGTCAGACAGATAGATAGATAGATAGAGAGACAGCGAAACTATTATTATAGACGAGAAAAATGGCCCGTTGAGGAAGGATACACCGGGCGCTAGGCTGATAGTGCTGTCTCTTTTCTCTAAACTAAAACCACCCCAGCCCCCCCCCCCCACCCACACACACCACCACCCCCCCCACAACCCCCACCCACCCCACACCCCCCCACACCACCCCCCCCCCCCCAAACCACCCCCACCCCCCCCCCCCCC